ACCAATCAGAAACCGGGTCGCCCCTTTGCTCGCCGGTAGACGACTTCGTCGCCGGTCGGGACAGTATTTGGGTCTGTCACCTTTGATTGCATTAACACTGCAAGGATGCTTTTCAGGGCTACTCAGTGGCGAGCACTGCTAGGCCATTTTGTATGGCGCACATAACCTAGTCACAATTATAACCTAAAGCTCCCATTTCGGGGATGCTGGTTGAACGTGACGCAAAGCAAAGCATCTACCTACCTATACCTCATCAATATGACTCAAACACCATCAGTCAAACTTTGTGGGGTTACTCCGTGTTACGAAACTATTGCACTTTTTTTAAATATACTTGTGTGACTATTATTATAGTCAAGCGCATTGGTCAGTAATTGTTAGCACATAATAAACATTACAAAATCACATATGTCTGAGATAGGAGGGAACACCAAACGTAACATTGGATCTCCGTGGAGAAGTGGTTAAACCGTGTCCCCAGATGCCAAAAGTTCGATTTCGGAATTCGTCCTTTGGTTTGTGATTATATGTGTGTTTTAGACACGGCCAGCTCCAGATTTTTATATAATTAGAGAAGGGCGTGGTTTTAGATATCCGTGGGGGTTGTTTCCGCAGCTACAGAGATCGCGCTTTCTGTAAATATCCTGAGGAGAGAGGCCACGTCACATATGCTAGAGCAGGACACTAATGTCGGCCGGCGATACCGTCGAGCTTTTAAACTCAAAGCAATAAACTTTTCGTGAGAGTTCAAGGTTGTAAACTCCAGCGGAATGTCCTGGTCAATTTCTGGACTTTAACTTTGTTCTATTAACTTAGCTTTGTAATCTAAAATAGAAATGAATAGATGGGCGCAAGAAGCCAGTTAACGAATGACAATGTCATAAGATGTAGGCTTATAACTATCATATCAAAAATACCTGCAATTAAGAAGTATTCACTCTATTCCGGGTTTTTTCATGCCTAGTACTTTTGTTCTGTGCTTTTAAAATATTGGTAATCTTCTTGAAATAAATTATCTATATCTGCTTCTTCTTCTTCGATCGTTCTGTCAAAAAACTAATATTAGGAGGGCGATAGACTTTATGAAAGCTATCGTGCAATCCATATACTCAAGTGTACCATACAGTTTTGTCTTCATTGTGGTTGGAACAGGCCAGATTGTCTGTTGTCAGCAAACAGTTGACAGTGTTGGAGCACATGTTCAGCATTTTCGGATGCCACGCTGCAGGGACACGTCTCCGTATTTCCTACACCGAAAAATTTGAACATATGCTGACGAAATATGTCTCTAGTCTGAACTTCACCACTGTCTTTTGTAATTCACTTAACGGCCTGTAAAGTTTGGCTTCCACCAGTGTCTCTCTTGGCCAGAAGTTTTGTCTGGAAACATTGTATCTGGGACAGTACTGGAGGATGTGATCTTTTAAATACTGGTAATCTTTAAGGGTCAGACATGTCCTTGTATTTTCCTTTAACTTTTTTTGGGTAAATTAACAACTATATAGATATTACACACGACAACAAAGGGTTGTGTAAATATTGCTCACCGAATCAATAAAATGCGTTCTCCACATAACACACATACACACATATGGATAGAACTGACATCAACGCTGTACGGACTAGGTTGGAGGATAATGGTGAATCCGACGCTAACACGATTGCGTAACCTGAGAGTTAAGTTTGGTGAAGCACGTCTATGCCGTCTTCGAGGGAACGATCAGTAGAGGTATATTGGATTGGTTGCTGCATCGGAACACTTACCATGCATGGGAATTGCCAATGTGCAAAGACATCGATTGTGATAACATAAACACACACACACAAGGCTGGCTGCAATTAATATTTGTAACACTCTCTTCCGCCTTGATTGTATGATCTAAGAAACTACTCTTAGTTCATCTCTCAATGGTATACTTTCACTAATATGGCTTTCTACTCTCTGCTAGTCTACCTTCAACGTTCCCACCAAGTGCAGTTTTTTAGTGTCATCTCTTTTCTTCTTCTTATTTTCTCTACTATTTGAATGCCTCACAAGTTCAGGGCAGGAAGAGATCTATGGAACGGGCCCTTCTGTTCGCTTAGTTTATGGCACTGTTCAATGTCACCGATATTTCTGCCGTCCATTTTCTGTGTGGTAAAACTTTAAACTGTTGCCATTGTATCTATATGCCATTTTATTATAGCTGGCATATATCACTTTTTATTTCTTTCTTTCATCAGCTTTGGTCTCTCTAGAACCGTTGTATTATGTATACCTAAACTGTGGGGCTCGCACACACACACACACACACACACACACACATATATATATATATATATATATATATATATATATATATATAGTGTAGCGCTCCTATTAAATACCCTACATCTATAGTATAGTATATTCATATCCACCAGTCCTAATTGTATTTAATCTTATGATTTCTTGTTTACAGTACAAGTTTCTGCGACAAATATTAGTGTTCAAACATTTCATACAAGATTTGTATTACGTTTATATTTCAAGAAGTGAAATTTTTTTAAGAGGAAAATATTTTTACAATTTTGACCGGCGAAAAATACGAAACAAAAAGACTCAATACTAGTCTCTCATCATTAATTTGAAACTATCGGCCCAGGCCCAATAAGAGTTAATCACAATATGTCTGGTCACATTCTGGAACCTCACAAGACCCGACATTCCGTGTCGAGGGTTAGAACTAAAAGCCTGGCCTAGTGATGATGATAACAGTGAATGTACTGCTAAATCAATTTACACAAGGACGGGACGGTACTTGGGCTGTCGATAAATAACAAACATCTGCAGTTACTATATTGCATCACGTGATATATAACAGCACTACACCAGTGACTTAACGGAGATAATTAGTAATCCTTTAGAATTCGTGGAAATACATTATCACTCCTTATTAACTTACACAGATTCTAAATATTTCACAATAGCCAGGTCGGGTCTTGTTTTAACAGACTACGACCAGGACAAATACTAACCTGACACACCGGATGCGCTGCGCTTCAGCCTGCGCCTGCTTCTAAGCTTTAGGCTTAATCGGGTTCTACGGCGTATCGTTTGAGTCAGATTTGTTTTATTTATTTTTATGACCGCAAGTGATATTTACATTTTAATTAACAAATAAATGAAGCCACGAACACATGATTAGAAAAATTAACATTGTTAAAAATATGGATATATAGACAAATTGGGTCGAATCTAAGGAAACAAAAATAAAATGAAGCCCTAAAGATAGGTCACACACAAACAGAATCGATGCGGATTCGAATCCAAGACTTGAAATATTTTTGTCATTTCGGTGGGAATGGTGGAAAGGGGGGGGGGGGGTAAATGTGTAACAACAGAGATGAAATCTATTGTTTGTTTGCTTGTTTTAGTATCCAGAAGCCATAAGTTGTTAACCCTTAGGCTCGGTATTATGGATATCGCAACCTTTCGGCCTTGAATCCATTGTAAATACCGTGAATCAGGGAGAAAATGTGGCTTTCCTGCCTACCCACGGGATTGAACCCGGACCACAAGGAGTTCGTCACCCGGTCTCCGCGCAATCCGGTTTAGCCAACTACGCTAGAGAGCCGGGCAAATGAAATCTATGAGAAGGGCTAGTGAGCAGAAGAGATACGACCAGGAATGAGACCATAAAAGAAAAAGTCGACACATAACCAATTCTAATTACAAAGACAACTAATCAAATGGTCAGCCCACGCAGAGAGAATGCTTTTGACGTCACTCTATACGCGGCATAGAATAAAAGAGAAGGATGCAGAATACAAGGTACGTTAACAACAATATAGAAAGATAACAATAACACCAGGGAAACTCTACAACAGCATCATACGTGGTCGAGGCGGTCAGAAGAGCGACAAGCAGAACCTTTTATCTCCCTCAGAACCCGAAGCGGTAAAAGAGGAAGTGAAGGAGAAGAAAAAGAAGAAGAAAAAGAAAACTGACACAAAGCATTTGAAAGAGCGCACAATAGTTTCTCCCGTGTGGGTTCGGTGGCCCAGTTTGAAAGGTGGTGTGTGTTTGGGGAGGGGGGGGGGTCCTACTACTCATAACAAGCATGTCGCAAAAGGCGACAATTGTGTCAAGACTCCATGAACATGTTTCAGAAGATAGCAACAAGCGATTGCGCTCTAAATGGGTAGAAAGCATTCGGAAATAGCACTTAGGGCCTACCCTTCCTCACCTGGATCTATACACCTGGTCATGCTGGCGTAAAGGGTAATGAGCGAGCGGACCAACAGGCAAGCAGGTCACAAACGCATGTGGGAAGAAACATGGAAAGAGCAGATATCATCAACGCTATACGGACTAAGCTAGTGGATTATGACTAATCTCTGACACTAACACGATTGCATGGCATGAGAGTAAAGCATGGTGAAGCACGTCTATGCTGCCTTCGAAGCCTAGATAGAAGACATTATAACCAACCTCTCACTGAAACAATTGGTAAAAGTTTCTTGGAGTGGCTGCTGCATCGGAGGACTGAGCACGCATGATAATACGTAGTGTGCAGTGACGTCGATTGTGATAACATAAGGTCGCAATGAAAAGGCGACTGATTATTGATTTGCTGATATCGGGTTTGCTGAGCCGAAAGGCGCAGATGTCGCAGCCTTGCTGTAAACTGCAACACAGCATGTCGACCACCTTTTTTAGGGTGAACGCAGAAGGTAAGACAGTAAATACACTTATGCAGTTCTGTTGACCTGGAAGTGAACTACAAAATGTGTACCCGCTGGTGTGTTGTGTAGCGCTAGTGTTGTGATAGAATAACCTTTCTGTCGTCTGCAAATAATGGAGGATGATGGCGCGAATGAAAAACCTTGCTTTCTGCACATATATTTGACTGAGTCCAGCTTCACTTATTGATCTGAATGTCTGCACTGTTACTAGATCTATATTTTAAATTAAATTTATGTGAAATTATTATTGCATTCTATTTATTTGTTTACAAACGAGTAACAGTGTTTATGTAATGTTTCGGTATACGAAAAGACCGTTGGTAAGTGGCTAGTATTAGTATTAGTATTTCTCAGAATAATGATTTAAATAGTTATTATTAATAATATTATTATTAAGTAAATTTAAATATATGAGGTAATTTTTTTTTTATTCGCCATTGGCACATTGAAATTTAGTGTTCTAGTATGCACATTTTATAGACAGACCAGGGATGGCTGAATTTAGCTTTCAGTCAGGCTACTTTCATTTCGAGAATTACTGGCGTTCTACTTTTGTGTACTTCTTCTTCTTCCTCAGCATTCCGTGCCCTTGAGGTTCATTGCTGCAGATATCACCAACCTCCATTCATCTGTCTTTTGTGTGCTGCTAAGATAAATAAATAATGTAAAAGTAAAGAAAAAGTCTCTTTCCCCCACATCTTCAGCATATATGGCTAGACCCAAGTTTTAAAGATCAGTAGGCAGTTGGTAGGTCATGCATGATATCAGCATCACACTGACCGCCTTTATTTCCCAGGACTTTACTTAGTAAAGCTATGGGGAAAAAAGGGGGAAGGGGAAATCGTTAAAAAAAACATCAACACCATTTATATTTGAACCCAGGACCTTCAGATCTGCATCGAGCTGCTCCATCTCTGCAGTTCACAAAAAAAAAAAAAAAAATTGAGACCATAACCAAGGAAGCAGGTATGCATGGTTTATAAACATTACATCAGTATTACATCTTTTGATGAACATTAAACATTTGAAAAGAATGTCATTCCGGCTATCCTCTGAATAACGGTCCCAAATGATCTAGGCTATGAATATACCCTAACAGGGCCTCAGTCATATGTAAATTGGGGACCTCTTTCCGGCGACTATACCACACCACTATGCGCGGCGCGAAGGGGACTTTACTAGATAGCTGGGACTCACGAGCAAATAAAATGGAGGAAGCTGCAGGAGACGCGGTAGCTGCTGCTCGTTAGTCCCAGCCATCTAGATTAGCCCCCTTCCACGGGGCGCGGGGGAAACTCTCAGTGGTGACTTTAACTCGGCGGATGCTTTTCCGTGGTATGCGGTAGTCGCCAGGAAAAGGTCAGCAATTTACATATGACTGAGGTCCTGTTAGGGTATTTTCTTAGCCTAGATAATTTGGGACAGTTATTCGGAGGATAGCCGATATTCACTTTTCAAGAGACAGCTGACTGGCTTCCATATCCTTGAAACTGCATTCCATTAATGAGTTTATGTTGCTGCAAGTCATGTGACCTAGTTGCTACTCCCAGGCAGGAAATCAAATGGTCATCAGTTTTTATATTCCTCTCCTTAGATGTTATCGCATATATTTTAGAGAACAATGATTCACATAGCACATAGATATGTAGGTCTGAAAAATTATGTTATATAGAATGCCACCTTTAAGATATCTGTATAGGATTCTTCTCCAGTAATTTCCAGAACAGGAACATTGCTATGAGTAGCTCTTGCTTAAAGGTAAAAAAAAGATGCACCCTTATTATTACAATCTTCAGCTATCCTCAGAATAACGGTCCAAAATTATGGAGGCTGAAAATATACCCTAACAGGACCTCGGTCACATGTAACTTGTGGACCACTTCCGGTGACTATACCGCCACTGCCAAGAGTATCTCTCGCGCCGCTATGTGCGGCCCGGAGTGGGGCTAAACTAGATGGCTGGGACTCACGAGCAAATAAAATGGAGGAAGCTACATGAGATGGGGTAGCTGCTGCTTGTGAGTCCTAGCCATCTAGTTTAGCCCAGCACGCGGCAGATACTTTCGGCAGTGGCTTTTTTCTTAGCGGAAGCTTTTTTCTGGAATGCTGTATAGTCACCGGAAGAGGTCCGCAATTAACATGTGACTGAGGCCCTGTTAGGGTATATTTTCGGCCTCGATAATTTGGGATTGTTATTCGGAGGATAGCCCATATTTTTACACAGATACATGTCATTATCACCATTACAGAGCCAGAGTAATGAAGTATAGTGTTGTAAACACACACAGAATGTTTACCGAATAGGTAGACCAAAAGAGGACACAATACTTAATAACCCTTAGAGCAGACAAGAAGGGTAAACATAGCAATCTATAAAGTTTTAAAATAGGTTGACTCATTAACTCTTTGGTTACTTCAAAGTAAAATTAATCAGGATATAAAGATATGAAATATTTACTGGTTAGGATTTAAATGAGTTAACATACTTTGGTATTACTTTCACTGAAGGGCACATAAAGGAGCAGCAATCTTGTCTGGAGTTATCTTTTATGCCCCACAAAGTATTTGTTATCTTTTCACTTTTCGGCATTTGGTTTCACACCTCTGTTGTTTTGGTCTGCCCATAGTTTTTAACTTTGTGACCTAATAATTTTTAATGAAGAATTTTTTTTTCACCTTCCCCTCTAAGATTTGTAGAAGTTTAAAGGTCATCCAAGAGTCATTCCTAACTGTTAATTCTCCTCCTTCTCCTCCTCCCTCTTTCTTTTTTTTAGTGGATACCATGCCTTCAACTATCTCATGGAAAATCATCCTAATATTTGTTATCACATGCAGCTCACCTCATGTCCTCCACATCTTTTTAACTTCCCTCTATTCTTCCCTTCTACATGTGTTTGTGTATATGTGTGTGTGTATGGGTCCACCTTTATTTCTTTGCCCCTAGGTTCCAGTGTAAATGTATTCTACTTATTCGAGCTGAGCATGGAGACATCCTTTTGCCTACGGATGTATGTTGGCTCAGTCGGGCTATATTTTGGACAAAATTCAAAAGCTTTTTTTTTCTAGAAATCTAAAAGAGAATGTTATCATGATTTTGAAGACCTTGAATGGTTACTGAAACTGTCAGAATGTCCTATTAAACATCAGCATCTTTTTGCCATCTCTTGATTCACTGGAATTTGTTTAGCGCTTTCCTGAAGCTCCAAATTAGGGATTCTATGATACCATTTAATTCCTTTTTTTGTTTACAGGCACCAGTTAATGAATGCACAACAGTTTTATTAGCTGAATGTTTTCTTTTTTTTTTTGGAGGCAGTCACACTGTTTCTTTCTTCTGGGTTCTCCTTGGGGATAAATATAAATGGAAATTGATTGTACACTTTTTACAGGATTTGAAGCTGAAGAAATGTAATAACACTCTCTCACTCATTCATTAACTGACTGACTAACTCACCGACTGACTGACTGACTGTCTAACTCACAGACTAACTCACTGACTGACCGACCGACCCACTGACTGACTGACTGACTGACTGACTGACTCACTCACTCACTCACTCACTCACTCACTCACTCACTCACTCACTCACTCACTCACTCACTCACTCACTCACTCACTCACTCACTCACTCACTCACTCACTCACTCACTCACTCACTCACTCACTCACTCACTCACTCACTCACTCACTCACTCACTCACTCACTCACTCACTCACTCACTCACTCACTCATTTACTCACTTCTCCACTGATTCTTGTTTTTTCCTTATCTGTCTCTCACTCACCCACACACAACTATCTACCTACACCCATCCTGTAACACAGTTTCTTGATTTGCTGAATCAAATTTAATGAGACAGTTCAGGGATGAGCTCCTTTTGCTCTTTCTAGTACAAAGGTTCCCAACCCTTGGCTTGTGACCTCAAATAGAGTCACAGAGGGTTTTCTGTGGGGTCACCAGGCAGTGGCGAGCTATGGAAATTGTAAAAAGTGAAAACAAAAAGCACATCATTGCATCCTGCACAGAGATTTATTTGCTAACTAGGGGTGCTGATCTACTTGAGATTAGTCAACTCTTAGTGATATTGCGCCCTGAGTACGTAGCCTTGTTTCTTGTGAGCTGCAATGGTTTTTCTTTGATACTAGCTAATTTTGCAAAATATAATAAATCTTAAATTGACGCAAATCGAGTGATCCCGCTTCAGGAATCTTACACTCTACACATCACGTTATTTAAAATTGTTTTTCAATCAGCTGAGCAGCAAGCCAAAAGCAGTTCGTCTGTTTTCAATTGTTTTCATTTACCCTATCAAAAAGCCTTTTTTTATACATGGGGTCCTGGGTCACTTGTCTTTATAAAATTGGGACCTGAGTCACTTTGCCCCTTAAAATGTTATGACTTGAAACAGTTTGAGATCTACTGCTCTTGTGGATGAATATGCTTCTGGTTCAGCGTGAAGGTACTTCAGTATGAAGTTTTAAGTTCCCTGTGTGAGTTCCGAGGCCTCTTTTTAGTGAGAAAAAGGTTAGTCAAGAGGATCGACTTTACTGCACCGGGTTTTATCACATATGGCTTGGTCTCTCCGCAGAATGGCTAGCTGCCTACTGAAAGCGTCACACAAAGCACGACTCCACAGCTTAAGTGATGATCCCCACGGATCTCTGTAAAAACTGCAGTTGTGAACACAGCCGTGAAATGAACCCATAACCTTCAGAGTGCGAGGCAAATGGCTTGACCGCTACACCAAGGAGACCCACTAATTCCCACAGAGTGGAATGAGAATAGACCAACTGCCCTTTAGCTAGCATGTCATAAATTACAGCTAATTCTTCTTTTTCTTCATGTTCACCGGCTGAAAACTCCGGCGGAAAGCTCTGGGTGTTCCACCACTTTAGTTTTGCTTCAGAACCTTAGTGTGTCATGCACATCCGTTTCACACATCTGGCTTATTTGTGTGCACACTTGTGGTCCCTTGCCTCTCAGGCAGATGTACTCTGAAGGATGTCCCTATTTAGTCGACTCCTACGACATGCTTGTTGGGGAGGCAGTGGGTCTGTTCTTGTTTTCCCCACAATTGGGCCCAGGAACCCACACAAGGATACAGCTAATTAGTAGTTTAAAAAAAATTGAATGTACTGAGCAAAAAAGGTGCAGATATCACAACTTGCATGTAAACCACAACACAGCGTGCCATCCACTTTTTTTTAATTGGTTAGAGGTGAACGCAAAATTAGATAAAGTTTTCAGCCAGCATATTAATGGCAAAATGCTTCTCATAGTTTCAGATCACAAGGACATTGAACTGGCTGCTTGTAGAAGGGCATCAGTTTCACATTCCCAAGTTTCGAACCTTCTCTGTTGAGCAATCACTGCCAAAGCTGCCAGTTCCTCCACTCGAGCAGACACTTAAAAAGTATCTGGACACATGTTATCCATTACTGACAGAGGAGCAGTACAAAAGTACTCAGGAGGTGGGTTGTTTCTCAATGCTGGTTTAACATTTCATTATTGTTTTTCTCTGTGGTTTCACGTTTCTTTATTTTAATAAGAAGAAATAACTTCTAGGTTGTAGGTACAGGTGAGTAAAACCAAGCTCCTATAGTGGCCAGATGCATGCCTGCGGATCCGAAGGTCGTTGGTTCAGGTCCTAACTGAGCCAGATTTTTGTTTTTCCAGAAATGACCTTAGATCCCAGGTCAACCCAGCTTTATATGAGTACAGGTAAAGTCCTGGGAAGTAAAGATGACTGGCAGGATGTTGACCACATCACCCACGGAATGCTATTTTGAAGGCGTGGAAAAGGGTCCTTTACTGTTTACTTGTTAGGGTTCTTGAGCCCTAATTTAGAGGGAAAAAAATTAGATCTCCTCCCTTTAAAGAAGACAACTAGTTAAGGGTTTGCTGAAATTGATTCTGTTGAGCCAAAGGCGTAGATACTGCAGCCTAGCTGTAAACCACAACACAACATGCTTATTTCATTTTAGGGGGAATGGAGAAAAAGAAGATGAAGTAAAACCAGTCTGCAAGGGGATAGTTAGCAAGCAAACCCTCTGATATCGGCAGAGGCTGACATTGCACCTACATGTTAACAGAGTGCTTTGATATTATTTATGTTGACAAATAACACATGATAAAATGTAATAATATATCTGTTCCTGTAACATATACGTAACTTCTTTCAATTTAGATTGTGAACAGATTTTTGAAAAATGAAGGGCCAGCTCTGCAAAAACTGTTGGAAGAAAGAGCTAGAAAGGAAGTCAATTGGGTAGGTAGTATGTTCTTCCTGCAGGTATTTATTTAGTTAGGTCAGATTACACTCTGTGTAATGACCTTGGGCTCCAAGGTCAGCCAGTGTAAAATGAGCGTCAGGAATTTTCACTGCTTGTAAAAGGCAGCTGGCGTGGTGTTGACTATGTCACACCCAGGCGGTGATGGAAACTAAACCTGAAAGCACAAGCAAAACTAGAGGCCATGGAAACGAAAACTAGAGTCACATAAACAGATCTAGAAGCCACTGATATGTGGTTTCTTATGGAATGCCAAGAATCACATTGACAGTTAAATAGTTTAAAATTCAAGTAATGCAGGATGCAAATCTACAAAGACAGAAGATTATCATTATGAGAACAAGACAATTATTAGTTTTTGTTTAAAGATTAAATGATCTATCTTTTACAGCAGGGCTATTCAAATGGTGACCGATGGACCAAATCTGGCCCCCGGAGCCCTTGCAAGTGGCCGGCAAGTCATTGCCAGTTTTATATTATTCATGATCTTTATATGCTGGGGCTCAGTCCTCTGGTTGGTGATGATCCCCTTTTCCAAACCTTTGACCCCTGAATAAACTTAATCGAATTAGCCCGGCTTTACAGGATATAGCAGAACAATCCCAGATTCTGTTAGCTGATTGGTTTTACAAGGCAGTTTTATGTTCAGTAGTCTGCCATTGTCGGCTTCTGTCGCTTAGGCATTGCGAACAAGCTTTGTAATGTCGGGTGCCGGGTTTGATCCCAGCTTTGCGTTGGTTTTGACAGTGGCACCAAGAGGTGACCATTCAGAAAGCAGTGGCAAACTACTGACGACGTAAAATGTGCCTAAAAGAATCACAACAGCCAAAAAATGCTGGAGTTGGTTCTGCAACATCTTGTAAAAGATACGCAGCTAACTTAACTAGTTTGCCATTACCTCTGAATGGTCGACTCTCTATACAACTGTTGAAATAGGTGCAGAGCCTTTTCTGCCAAATCACCTATATCTGGAATCGAACCAGGTACATCGGAATTACCACAGGTATAGCTTCAAATGGGTAACGGGTTATTATGAATGTGTTTTGTGCCTTTTATTCCTCATTGGCGCACAGGCTCTCAGTCAGCTCATGCCAAGTCATCCAATCCTTTGCTATTTCATGCAACTTTCCCCATGTCTTCCCATGGTTTTAACTTCACTGTCTAGCTCCCTTCTGCATGCTTGTTTTGTTCTGTCTTTTTTCAGTGCCCCTCTGGGTTTGAATGCAAAGACATTCTAGTTATATTGTTCTCAGGTTTTCTCAATGGGTGTCCTGTTCAGCTCCAGCATCTCTTCTTAACCTCTTGATTCACTGTAATCGTTATTGATTTCTATCAAATCATTTTATTCTCTCTATTATGCTCAGCACCAGTTAAAGAATGTGTGTAGTTTATTAGTATGGTGTCACTTTAGTTGCGTTATTTTTTTGGTACTTTGTTTAGTTGCTCATCTTGTAGCACAGGTCACTTGAAAACAATCTGTCTCTATGACAGTTTGAGGTGTTTCTAACTTTATGGATAAAGAGGTCCCTGTTTGGGTTCCGGGGGCCCTGTTATAGTGAGATCAAAAATAGACCCACTGCCTACCCAAAAGCTTGTCGCAAGAGTCAACTAATTGGGAGCTTCCATCAAAGTCGGAATTCATTTGCCGGAGAGGCAAGGAACCAGCAGTCTGCATACAAATGAGTCAGATCTGTAAAACAGATACACATGCAACACTCAGGTTCTGGAACAGTACTGCAGTCCAGAAGTGGATGAACAACCAGAACTTTTCGCCAGAGTTTACAGCTGGTGAACGTGAAGAAGAAGAAGAGGATAAAGAGGGAAGATAAATAAACACTTTAGGGTATCTCTATGCGGGTTCCAGGGCCCCATTTGTTGGTGGAGCATACCATAGGAATTGACTAATTAGGGGTATTTCCTTTGAAGCTGAAGTGCATCTGCCTAAAAGACAAGTAACTACCAACGGTCTGCATACAAATAAGCCAGATCTGTGAAACGGATGTGCATGCAAACACTCAAGTTCTGGAACAAGACCAAAGTCTGGAAGTGGGCAAACAACCAAAACTTTCCGCCAGAGTTTACAGGCAGTGAACACGAAAAAGAAGAAGAAGATAGCAAAGCAGTTTCATACTTCTTTTAATAATACTTCATTTCTGCATTGAGTGAAATTGTTAAATAAGAAATTTACTTGTACAGTAGAATCTCAGTTCTCCATTGCCTCCCTTCTATAATAGTTAGGAAATTTGTTTGGGGAAAAAATGTATCAGTTTTCAGAACCTTGGCTCTTGAACCACCAATCCAGAAACCGCATAGTTTACGAGATGAGACTGAGGCTCTATGATATTTCCTTCCATTTCTATCGTTCTGCAGTCACCTCACATAGTGGCAATAACACAAGTAAAATAGAGTAACCTTTTCTTGTTAAGGGGCACGTTGAGCGTATGGTGATAGACTCATATGTTTTATAGTTTAGATGGATGATTTGATCAGCATCGTGCTGGCTGCCTTTACTTCCCATGTTATTTCCTCTTTAAAAATTTAGGCTTGGTGTTGCACGCTGATTTGGGTAAAGTGTGATATTGTGTGAAGGGACCATGGTATGCCAGTACTTTCTGTGAGTTCACGGGGGGAATAGTGTCAACATGGTCCGAGTATTGAGAGAAGACCAGTGAAAATGTCTATTCATGAACAAGGCGTGCACGCACGAGAGAAAGTGGACGCGTGGGTTACTGTGTGGGGGCTGAAAGCATGGCTAACAAGATAAACAGAGAAAGTGTGAATTAAGTGACAGCGTGATTCTCAGGTAACATCAGCCACCCGCATAAGTGTGATCCTCGAGAACGCCCATATGAGGGTGAGTCTCGTGTAGACATCATCCACCTACACGGATTTGAGGGGGATAAATTGGAGGGCTGAGTAGCCACTCGGAGGCAATCGAGAAGCAGTCGAGAGAGAAGCGAGAAGAGAGAGAGAGAGAGGGAGAAAGCGAGAGTCAGAGACCAAGTCAGGGTCCGTGATATCTCTCGCAAGTCTAACAGACAAGAATACCGTACGACTATCAGGCATTAAGGTCTGAGTGAGTGTCGAGGTTGCGGTACTGAACGAAGATATGGTACCGCTGGCAAAGTAAGTCCAGGGGATGGAAGGCTCAAGTAGTACCTGTTCTGGGTGGCGACAGTGAAACGTAGGAGGACCACTACTGAAACAGGACAGGGGGGAGTGGTACTGACGAGAGCTGTGTGCTAGAGGGGACTTATGGTAGAAGTCCTGTCGGTCATCGGAGCCCTGCGACAAGCTGACAACAGCTGTGTGTTTTCGGAGTACGGCAAGGGAAGTCCGTATCCAGTCAGCCGTGTTGTATGCTGAAATAATATCAAGGTCCAGTGAATGAGAGAATTGGTCCTGTTCAGCTGTACAGCGCGTCCAGAATGTGAGACGCTGTAGTCCTTGGAGCTGTAGTAGTGAAGGAGAGGACGCTACAAATTGAGAGAGAGAGCGAGTGAGGACAAATGGACGATGTGCGAATGTCAACTGTGATCAATAACTACGTCTATGCATTTGTGTCCCGTATCCTGTTAAATAAAATGTATGACGGTGTCATTGTCGTCGAGTTCTATTTCTAAGAGAGGAAGCGGAAGGGTACCTGCTAGACACCTGGTAGTGTGCTAACTAGTGGTAACTCATTTAGCACACAACACTTGGCCTACCTAGAAGCCGAGGTTTTGTTATGAAAAAAAAAATGCATTTGGTGATACAAACCCCAGATAACAGTTCCACAGGCTTAACACGTTTGCCCGGTAATGCCACAAAAAATGGGAGGGGGGGGGGGGGGAAGTGGGGAGGGGCATTTAATAAAATTTGTCTAATTTTGGGTGTTTCTTTTGAAGTTGAAGTGTCTGCCTGAGAGGTGAGGAACCAACATACAGATAAACCAGATTTATGAAATGGGTGTGCACACAAAACTGAAGTTCTTGGATAAGATCAAAGTCTTTCTTGAACAAGATCAAAGTCTTTCTTGGACAAGATCAAAGTCTTTCTTGGACAAGATCAAAGTCTTTCTTGAACAAGATCAAAGTCTTTCTTGAACAAGATCAAAGTCTTTCTTGAACAAGATCAAAGTCTTTCTTGAACAAGATCAAAGTCTTTCTTGAACAAGATCAAAGTCTTTCTTGAACAAGATCAAAGTCTTTCTTGAACAAGATCAAAGTCTTTCTTGAACAAGATCAAAGTCTTTCTTGAACAAGATCAAAGTCTTTCTTGAACAAGATCAAAGTCTTTCTTGAACAAGATCAAAGTCTTTCTTGAACAAGATCAAAGTCTTTCTTGAACAAGATCAAAGTCTTTCTTGAACAAGATCAAAGTCTTTCTTGAACAAGATCAAAGTCCAGAAGTGGATGAACCACTAGAACTTTCTGCCAGTGTTTACAGCGGGTAAACGCTAAGAAGAAAAGATTCATTGTATTTGTCTCTTGTGTTTGTCTTTTGTGTTTTTTCCTTGTGTTTTTGCCTTACGTGATTTCACCCTGCAGATATGTTGGTACAATTGCAGCTTTCAGAATGGTGGAAAAACTGGGCCTATCTGGATGTCCGCCTGCCAGTTGTGATCAATGTCAACCCTGGAATCTATCTGCCGAGACAGAGTAACAGGGGTCGGAAAGAGCAAATTCAGTAAGTTGCATTGACTAGAGAAAGAAATTGCAAAGATACATTGGCCAGACGAACAAACTTTACAAGTTACATTGACCAGACGAATAGACTGTGCAGGTTACATTGACCAGAGAAACAAATTGTGCAAGTTACATTGACCAGAGAAACAGACTGTGCAGGTTACAGTGACTAGAGAAACAAAATGGGCAAGTTACATTGACCAGAAGAACAAACTATGCAAGTTACATCGACCAGATGAACAAACTGTCCAAGTAACATTGACCAGAGAAACAAACCTTGCAAATTGCATTGACCAGACAAATAAACTATGCAAGTTACATTGACTAGAGTAACAAATTGGTCAAGTTACATTGACCAGAGAAACAGACTGTGCAAGTTACATTGACCATAACAATGCATTAGCCAGTTCCTACATCCCCATCTACCCCATGAATGTGTTGTGAGATACTACCACATCACATCCCATGTGAAAGTTTTTTAAGATTCTAATTCTTCACACCTCCTGTAAGGGTTGTGTATATTATATAGCTTCACACCTCATTTGAGATACTATAACTTCACACTTGTTATGAAATGTGTGAGATACTACCAGTTCACACCTATGAAAGTCATTGAGATACTCTCTCTTCACACTTCTAAGAAGCTCATGTGAGATACTAAAACTTAAACCTTCTGTGAAAGTTGTGTAAGATACTACGAGTTCACACCTTCTGTGAAAGTCATGTTTTGAGATACTACCACTTCAAACCTTCTGTGAAAGTTGTGTGGTGAGATAATACCACTTCAAACCTTCTGTGAAAGTTGTGTGGTGAGATAATACCATTTCACACCTTCTGTGAAAGTTGTGTGGTGAGATAATACCATTTCACACCTTCTGTGAAAGTTGTGTGGTGTGATACTACCACTTCACACCTTTTGTGAAAGTTGTGTGGTGAGATAATACCACTTCACACCTTTTGTGAAAGTTGTGTGGTGAGATAATACCACTTCCCACTTTCTGTTAAAGTTGTATGAGAGACTACCACTTCACACCTTCTGTGAATGTTGTGTGAGATAATACCATTTTACACCTTCTGTGAAAATTCTGTGAGATACTACCAGTTCACACTTTCTGTGAAAGTTGTGTTTGATACTGCCACTTCACAACTCCTATAAAAGCTTCACACTTCCATGAAAGTCATGTGGTGAGATACTAACACTTCACACCTTGTTGCGTGTCAGTTCGAGTTTTTCAACATTGATTGTGCGAATGTAGTGCAAATCTGGGTGTCTGGTGACCTGAGTCAATATTTTGACTCTGTGTTGACTTAAGACAGGATATGTCAGTGCGGCTTGAGTCAGTATTGTACTTCTGCGTTGACTTAGGGCCAGAGTGACCAGTGGGTTTGCGAGGTTTCGACTAGTTAGGGGTAAATTGTCATACCTGCTTTGTGCTGAGTGAGATTGGGTACAAGAGGTATGCGGGAAAGAAAGGGAGAATCGTGCATTGCTGTGAGCATCTTGAGTTGCATGGAGAGCTCACAGGGCACTCATGTGTATATACTGGGGTTGAGTTCAGTTGAGCAGAGGGCAGACTAGAGAACGGTCGAGAACACTTGAGAGTCCAGTCAAGGGACCAGTGGAGAGTGCAGTCAAGGAAAGAGAAGTCCAGTTGGCAGAGTTGAACCAAGGAGAACTGGGCGTTCTCTGTGATGAAAGCTTGTCTTGGATGATGACGCATGTGGCGGTTGTGATCACTATGGAAACAAGACAGCAGTTCTACATACGAGTAAGACCCCCGTAGATTTTGGCAACAGCTGTGTGCTGAGAGGACTCAGAGTCAGGATTTTGCTGGTCATCGTAGATTTCCTCGACTAGGCTGAGGTGCTGTGTGTACATTATGGAGCTTAAGAATTGTGAAGTTTCCAGTCAGCCGATATGAAAGTGTCTGCTATGAGTATAGCAACAGAGGTCAAGCTGAGTAAGCTAGATGGAGCCTATTCATCCTTACTGCTAGCCCTGACGTGAGGGTAGCCAACAACCGGGGTACTGAAGTGGTGAGCTCAGTGGTTGTAGTGACAGCTGTTGTAGGCTGTCCGATGGAACACCGCTAAAAATGTTTTTAGTGAGCCGAGTTTGTAACATTTATTTCACGTTTAGCTAGTGTTAATTATTTGTATGATGCTTCGCCTTCGTTATTATCTGTGCAGGTGAAGGTTCTTGTGAAATAAATTTGTATATATGGCGGGCACCGTTGTTTGAATGTTCCTGACTGTGTGCAAGTTGCAGTGTTCAGGCAAGGATCATATCCTAGACAATTACTTGATCACATGTTCATCTGCTGCCAGTATTCAGCATAAAACACACCTTCTAGGAAAGTTGTGTTATAAGATACTACCACTTCACACTTTCATTGATTGTTGTATGGTGAGAAACTACTACTTCACACCTTCTATGAAAGTCATGTGAGAAACTATCAGTTTACACCTTCTTTCAAAGTAGTTGGGTGAGATACTACCATCTCACACCTTCTATGAAAGTTGTGTGAGATACCATTACTTCACAACTCCTATGAAAGTTTACTTCGGTGTTATGTACATTTTTTGTTTCTTCCCTAGGTTTGCTGCTAGATTCATTGCTGGTGTCTTGGATTACAAGATAATGTTGGATGAGTGAGTATCTGTTCGTGTAAGGATGTTTCTATTTTATAAATTAATGTTGCTTTATTGTCCATAACAAGGCAGAAAATACTTATATTCTTTCAACATACTATGTCCAGCTTTATTTCATAAAGTGTCACAAACTGGTCTCTATCTTAATGTGTACTCAACATTAGTCCTTGTCTTAATGTACTCAACATTTATTTTGATCCTCAAAACATCAGTCTCTATCTTAATGTACTCAACACTAATCTTGACCATTATCAGACTGTATGTATTGATAGTTACCATTGTCCTTGAGATTGTACTCAACATCATTCTCTTTCTCTGACAAATTGTTGAAAACATTATTCACCATTGTCAAACGATTTGTACACAACATTATTCACCATTGTTAAACAGTTTGTAGACAACATTATTCACCATTGTCAAACTATCTGTAGACAACATTATTCACAATTGTTAAACAGTTTGTAGACAACATTATTCACCATTGTCAAACTATCTGTACACAACATTATTCACCATTGTTAAACAGTTTGTAGACAACATTATTCACCATTGTCAAACTATCTGTAGACAACATTATTCACCATTGTCAAACTATCTGTAGACAACATTATTCACCATTGTCAAACTATCTGTAGACAACATTATTCACCATTGTCAAACTATCTGTAGACAACATTATTCACCATTGTCAAACTATCTGTAGACAACATTATTCACCATTGTCAAACTATCTGTAGACAACATTATTCACCATTGTCAAACTATCTGTAGACAACATTATTCACCATTGTCAAACTATCTGTAGACAACATTATTCACAATTTTTAAACTGTTTGTAGACAACATTATTCACCTTTGTCAAACTATCTGTAGACAACATTATTCACCATTGTCAAACTATCTGTAGACAACATTATTCACAATTTTTAAACTGTTTGTAGACAACATTATTGACCATTCATCATCATGTAGAGTGCCTTTGCAGAACATCACTCTCATCACAGCCTCCCCCCAAAAAAGCCCAGTTTCTTGCTAGATCTCCCGCGTTGTGCACGTTACCTACCCTGTGCACCACTTATTTCCTGTGCCCATCTTCGTGCTGGTCGGCCCCCGTCCCTTTTTCCTGACACCATGTCTTCTGCTTCTATTCTTTCCAATCCGCTGTGGGGCTTCTTCTTCTTCTTCTTCAGCATTCCGAGCCCTTGAGGTTCATTGCTGCAGATATCACCCGCCTCCATTCATCTCTCTGGTTGGCCTTCTCTTTCTAGTTGGTGAAACCACGTGTTTGCAGGTCTGTCTGGATATTATCTCTCCATCATCTTCTTGGTTTGCATGGTGCTGTGGGGCATGATATCACTAAAATATTTCAGCTTCCGAGACAAGATACTGTTTACTCATATCTTCCTTGATTTCTAGATCTTTTAGGTTGTCAGTATTTCTTTTTTTCTTCTTGGTCTGTGGTATTCTGAGAATCTTATAGCAAAAGCCTCAATTTTCTTCCATAATGTTAGTCATCATTATCAAATATACAACACATAATATTGGTTTCTACCTGCAGACAATCAGTGCCAGTGGACACACTGGGAGGAAAGCCACTGTGTATGGCTCAATACTACCAACTGCTGAATGGCTGTAGAATTCCCGGAGTCAGGAGAGATGGACATGTGTGTATCGGACCTAATGACCCACGCCAGCCCAGACACATTGTAGTCATTCATAACAACCATGTAAGTATAGAATATATTTGTTTGGGGGGATCCAGAAACTATAAGTTGTTAACCCTTTGGCTCGGTACTATGGATATCAAAACCATTCGGCCTTGATTCCTTGATAGATACCGCAAATCTGGGAAATATCTGGCTTTTCTGCCTACCCCCGAGCGTGAACTCGGACCACAAGGAGTTTGTTACCCGATCTCTATGGTTAGCTTCAAGCAGAGTGGCAAGCTTCACTGGGAAGGTGACGGGTAGTGAGCATACTTTGGGTCTTTTCTCCAGGCTATGCCGGCATAGTGGGTAATAAATAGGTAGACAGATTGGCTGGATCTGCACCACTGGGTGGTGAATTGATACATGACAAGGCAGATGTGCTGCTAGATTCATTGCTTGTGTCTTGGATTACAAGATAATTTTGGATGAGTGAGTATCTGTTCGTGTAAAACAATTTGAAAATGATGATTGTCATGGGCCAGAGGCCCTAGTTCTATCATTATTCAATATTAATAAATCATTTTTATGATGCAACTGGCAATAATCCGCGGGCCACTTTCTAGACCTCCGTAAGCCAAATGTGGACCACTAACCAACAGTAGAAAAGCCCTGGCTTAAACCAAAATGTATTTCATTGGCTTCTTTCAGCTATTTTCCGTGGATGTGTATGGAGACCAAGGCAAGCCGCTGAGTTTGTCTCAGCTCTCAGAACAGATTGATGACTGCATCAACCACAGCCAGGTGTTGGGGACACCTGTCGGCATTCTCACCAGCATGGACCGTACAGCCTGGGGGAAGGTGTATGCTAGCATGCTGAAAGGTATCCACTGACTTGGGCGTAGGCAGTTCTGTTGCAGTGTGTTAGATTCTCTGTAGTGTGACACAGAGGTGTTTAGTAGTATGAAGTGAGAGGTTTGTTGTTATGTGACATTAGTTTCTCTGTAGTGTAACGAGTGAGGTAATCAGTAGTTTGACATGAGAGTTTTGTTACAGTGATATTCATTTCTCTGTAGTGTGACTAGAGAGGTGCTCAGCAAATTAAAGTGAGAGGTTTGTTAAAATGTGACATTGGTTTCTCTGTAGTGTGACTAGAGAGATGTTCAGTTGTTCAACGTGAGAGTTTTGTTGTAATGTGACATTAATTTCTGTATAGTGTGACAAGAGAGGTGTTTAGTAGTTTAACATGATAGTTTTGCTGTAATGTAGTAGGACATTTTTTTTTTATAGTTTGACAGGTGAGGTTTGTTTTAGTGTGACATGAGAGGTGTTTTATAGTGTGGCATATGAAGTGTTCAGTAGTTTGACATAAGAGGTTTGTTTTGGTGTGACATAAGAGGTGTATTGTAGTTTGACAGGGAGAGATTTGTTTTGTTTTAGTATGACATGAGAGGTGTTTTGTAGTGTGACATAAGAAGTGTTCAGTAGTTTGACATAAGAGGTTTGTTTTGGTGTGACATAAGAGGTGTATTGTAGTTTGACAGGGAAAGATTTGTTTTAGTATGACATGAGAGGTGTTTTGTAGTGTGACATAAGAAGTGTTCAGTAGTTTGACATAAGAGGTTTGTTTTGGTGTGACATGAGAGGTGTTGTGTAGTGTGACAGAGGTTTGGTATAATATGACTTAATAGGTATTCTTTAGTGTGAAATGAGATGTGTTTTTAGTGTGAGTTTTTTAGTGTGACATGAAAGATTTGTTTTAATGTGCCATTAGAGGCACATTAGAAGTGTGACACAAGAGATGTTTTATAGTGTTATATGAGAGGTGTTTGACAAGAATGATGTTTTGTAGTTTGACATGAGAGGTTTGTTTGTTTGACATTAGTGTTCTATTGTATTGTGACACGAGAGTCTTCTGTAGAATATTCATCCAACGTGTACGTTCAACTTACCATTACCGAGAAGGATTATATACCTATCATGTGTGATCATATTATCATTAAATCTCAGAATTAAACATCCATCGTTTAGGATCATCTCACAACATACAATGATTATATCTGCATTATGTAGGATCATATCACCACACACAAGGATTATATATACATAATGTAGGATTGTATTATTACTACCCACAATAACAATATTTCCATAATCTAGGATTATGTCACAACATGCAAGGATTATATTTGCATTATGTAGAATCATATCACAACACTCAAGGATTATATTTTCATTATGTAGGATTATATTATTACTACACGCAATAATAACATTTCCATAATCTATCATCATGTCACAACACACAAGGATTATATTTTCATTATGTAGGATTTTGACACAACACACAAGGATTATATTTTCATTTTGTAGGATTTTGACACAACAAACAAGCCTAATACATCCATCATGTGGAGTTATGTCACTCGGCACAAGGATTATATGTCACTCGGCACAAGGATTATATTTCAATTATGTAGGATTATGTTACAGCATGCAAGGATTATATTTCCATCATACTGGAACCCACAGAGCTAAAGAAATCAAAGGAGGCCAAAAAACATATGGAGAAGAAAATTAGAGACAGGTGTGTATGATGGAGAGGACATTGGGTGAGCTGCTTGTTATGGCATAGGGTAGGATAACTTGCTTAGCTGAGGGCTTATGCTCCACCGGTTGGAGGCGGGATAAGGGCAGAAGAAGAATTAAGTTGTTAAAATTGTGAATATGATCACATGGTCATCTGTGATCTGTGTGGATTACATTATTGTTTGCACATCATAGAAAGAAGATCACACATCCAGTGTGATAAAATGATTATGAGTACAAAGGTGTTAAAGCATATACGAGTCTGAAAAGTTCTTGGGCAATGTGAATAGCAGATGGTAGACACGCAGAGGTGAGTTTAATTTTCTAGCACGTTTCCAGAAATAGTATACTCTCTAGTTGGCTGCTGCGTCAGTCTTAAGAGTCTAGTACAGCAGTAGCTCAACCTACGAACTTAATTTGTTCTTGATGTGTTTTGTATCTTGATAAGTTCATATCTGAAAACCCAGTTTCCCATTACATCAAATGGGAAATCAGTTTATCTGTTCTCAGACTAAAAAAAAAAACTCTCACTTAAATTTAATTTTGATAAAATTATGCACTCATCCAAATCTTTTTTTCAGCTGTGGTAGGTGTCCTGGCACACTGTCCATTGTAAAAAGAACTTTATAAGGCAGATCCTTTTCTTATAGATACTGTTTCACAGTGGGAGCAAAGACCTCTGTCATCCACTCGCAGAAGAATTGCCTGGTACCCAAGCTATGCTGTTACTTTTCCACATAAAGTTGAGTGTGTATATGTTAACTTTCTATTATTTAAAGACTCTAGGATTTTCAGAACAATAAAGCGTTCCTGTGAGGCTTCTGGAATCTCATTTGCAGGGGGGGGGGGGGGGGGGGCAGTAGACCCACTGCTTCGCCAGCATGCAAGGGAAATAATTATTGGAGTTTCTTTCAAAGCTGGAATGCATCTGCCAAAGAGGCGAGGAACTAGCAGTCTGCATTATAAATAAGCCGGATCTGTAAAATGGATGTGCACACAATATTCAAGTTCTGGAACAAGACCAAATTTCAGAAGTGGCTGAACAACCAGAACTGTCCGCCAGTGTTAACAGGCAGTGAACTGATAGAAGAAAAAGAAGTTTTCTTATGTTTAGTTAGTGATGTTAAGCATCCTAGATTTTTGTTGTGTCCTAGTTTTATGTTGTGTAAACTGTATTGTTTCTGATATGTTAACAGCTGATGTAGTGAATATTATCTTATTAGTCTGTTTTTGTTATCTGATATTAATAAATGAATATTATTTCTGAAGTTTATCCTCAGCGAAGATGGATATATCGGTCTCAACTATGAGCACACAGTAGCAGAGGGACCTGCTGTCATTAGTCTTGTTGATCACGTTTTAGGATTTCTGTAAGTAACCGCACTTGTGGAGGTGTTTATTGGATGTCTCATTGTGATACACTCAGATCCTTATGAAGACAAATTTCAAGGGTTCGAAAAATGTCAGTTGTTAAATAAATTCATGCTAACCTTATATAGGTATAAGACCAGACTTCCCCAGCAAGGACTTCCTCATATGGACACTGCTAGGGAAGACCAAGAGAGGCCCTGCGTAGAACCGTCATAAGGAAAGGCTTAACCATGGGCCTTATGAACATCCAAGAGCTAAAAGCAGATGGCAACAAACTGCCAGACATGGAGAGCTATGATCTCTGCCCTATGCGCTGACCTTGGCTCAAGAAGAAAGACTAACTAAACCAGGGACTCAGATTAATACATCCGCGCGGGACACAAATTGTCTTCCATGTTATCCGAGGGGTCTTCTTAAGTAAGTTTGTGTTAATGAGGTTTTACTGTATTTGATGATTTTTGTATTTGATAACGTCTGGTGTTTATTCAGCTATGTTTGATGTTTCTTTGGTGGTGTTGGTTTGTTAATGAAGGTTGATATATGTTTGATTTTTTTGATGTTTGTTATCTATTAGCGGATTGATTCATGATGTTTTCTTGCTTGCTTTATGGTTTGTTTAACAGTTTCCCATCTTTGATATCTCTTCTACATCGCTCTGATGTAATGAATCCTGCCCTATTTCTCTGTATTATTTATTTTTATTCTTCTCTTCTTCTGTCTGTTGTCTTCCATTGAATCATAAGCCCTCAGTCAACTCATGCTAAGCTCTGTGAAGACTTGTTCAAGGTAAAGTTTTCTTCTTCTCATTCACCAGCTGTAACTTTGACCGAAAGTCCTGGCTGTTTATCTGTTTCTGGCCTTCGGTCTTGTTTCTCCAGGGCTTGAGCGTGCAGTGCACATCCATTTAACAGATCTGGCTTTTTTGTGTGCAGATGCGCTCAGACTACAATGAAAATGTTAATCCTATTTATATTAGCCAGGTCCCTGCGAAGAGGTAGAGGCAGATGTTGACCAGAATGAGCACTAGTCCTGGTGCACCACCACATGTTGTTAAGCACCTTGGTATCTGAGTTAGCCAGCCTCACACCAACCTTCCTTGGTCATCCTTTATGACATACGTGATAGGCTATAGCATTACTGTTCTTTGCTTACTTTATGAGTCCCTGTTACACACACACACGCATGCACACACACACGCACACACGCGCACACACACACTTCAGTTTGTTGCCTATCGTTTACATGACGTTGCAAAACCAACCACAGTATTTTTTGGCTGTTGTGGTTTTCTTTGGCAAATTTTACGTTCAGTAATTTTCGATTGCCTCTGAATGGTCAGCTCTCGGTACCACTGTTGAAACCAAGACAAGATGGTCTTTTGCAAAATCGCCTGCAACTCGGATAGAACCTGGTACTCCAGCACTATGAAGCACCTTTTGCAGCACTGAAGCCACAGACGCTGACAGCTTGGTCATATGCCAGATGTACGGCTACTGGCATAAAAAGGGTCCGTTACTTTTGCTTGCTATTTGTACCATACCAGGACATCACACAAGCGATAAACACCCGGTGACACAAAGTGCCACCATGTGGATGAGGATCACCCGTGTAAGGTCCCAGAAACCCCTTTCAGCCATTATGGCCACAGTTGCGGCCCAGCTATATTCAGGGCTCCCGGCAAAAGCCAGGGTGGGGCTTCAAATAACGAAAAATTGCATCCCACAAGAGGACGACTTGGAATTGATACCTTTACTTTTATTTTTGGTTATTCAGCATTCACTGAATAATGTTGCATCAAGTTGGTGTGGGTGTTTACACCTGCAACCACAGGTGTAAAAAGTTAGTTGCATATCCATTACCAGACGTTGTAAAGGATACGCAACCATCTTTTAGTTTGCCATTACCTCTAAATGGTCGGCTGTCGATACCCCGGTCAAAATCCACACAAGTTGGTTTGTTGCTAGATTGCCCACAACTAGAATCAAACCAGGTACCACAAAATTATGAAGTATATTCACAACACTTAAGCTACAGAAACTGACAAAAACAGTTGTGTACAGCAGTGTATTCATAAATGCTGGTTGCATTTTAACTGGCTGGTTTTTATTGAATATTGACCAGAATGTGAATCACTTTACTGCCAATGTGAACTTTAAAAACACTGTTTTCAGGGAAAAACAAAAGGAACCATGGGGGGCAGCCCCGAACATCCATCCTCCGAAAAGGCTTCAATTCAACATTACCAGTAAGACACAGGAGGTTATTGAACTAGGAATTGATGAGATTGACTCGTATGTCACTTTTATTTTTGTGCCTGTTGTGATAATTGACTTTTATGTCACTTTAGTTTTTGTACCTGTTATGCTGATTGACTTTAATGTCACTTTTGTGTACCTATTATGATCCTTATCTTTAATTTAACACATTGTTTATCAGGAAACTAATTAAATACTAAACCATAGCTAATCTTCTCGCCGCAGATTGGAAAGTCGTGGGTTCGCTCCCTAGCGAACTTTAAAAAAAAATTACCCAGCCTTGAGTGGGTACCAGGTGCAGTCTCCGGAAGTAGAGGCGGCCGGCGTGATGCTGACCACATCCCACATTTTGTGCTGATTGGTCTATAAAATATAGGTCTAGCCCTATATGCCTTATACGCCTAAAAGGCATGGAAAAGTGTCCTTTACCTTTTTTACTTTTTATAGCTAATCTTGAGGTATATAGGAAATTAATTAATTGGATCAGGGGGCTTCAGTTGAACAACTTAAAAGTTTTTAGAAATTACAATAACCATGCCATTGTGGTAACATGTCAGCAATGTTATTAAGTTTATCAAGTGTTAGGCACATGACATCACAGCCCAGACGAACACGGTGACGGCATAATGAGTTTAAATGGCCACCCCACTTTTGACATGCACCAGAGAGGAGTAGCGTTGTTGTCCTGTTAATTTTTGTAGATCAGTGAAAGGGGTGAAACCTAAAAAAATTCAGCCGCGAATGAAGGTCCGGTCTGGTGATGCAAGCCTGTCAATTCAGCAAGTGTGATTGGGGTAGGAAGTTTCAGAATGGCCGCAGTTGACTCTGGGTGTGCCTAACCTGGTTGTGAACGGTCTTTAACAAAAGTCCTACCATTAATGTAATTTCTATCACATTTTTAAGGTTTTGATTTTCCCCTCTGTAGCATCACTAATGTAGATCCTCATGTGGTTACCGGGGCCCTGTTTTTGTATAGAAAAAAAAAACAAGAATAGCCCTAAAACTCCCCTAATGAGCATGTCGTTAAAGGCGAATAGTTAGGTTTTCTTTTTTAAATCAGATGTGTTGGGCTGAAAAGTGAAAATATCGCAGTCTAGCCGTAAACCACAACATATTTAAGGGCGAATACAGAAGAAATAATATAGAGCTTTGAGAGAGAATTCAATAAATACCAGTGAATCAAGAGGTGAGGAAAATATGTTGATGTTATAGGCACATGTTGAGAAAACAATATAACTAGAGTATCTTTGCACTGGAACCAAAGAAATAAAGGCAGACTTTAAACAGATAAAAAAAAATTTTTTTTTTCAAACCCACCTGGTATGAATGGTTTTATTCTTGAGAAATTTTCAGCTAATAGTGTCCAGCATGATTTAGTAAACCTCTTCCTCTACAGTTAAACATTTTAAACTGATTGTTTCCATCATAATTTAGCGAATATTTTCAACCAGTTTGGTTGTCAATGGTCTGATTTTGATTCTGACAGTAACCCCCCCCCCCCCCCCCCCCCCCCCCCCTCCCCCCCGCCAAACAGTAAAATTGTCACAAGTTTCACTATACTATTGCCTCCGAACGTGTGAAGATTCTTAGGTAAAATCTGCATCATGTTTAATTTTTGTTTCTGTTTTGTTATAATTGTCTTTTGCTCTCAAGCCTGCCCAGCCTAAGGGTTGAATACATCGTGCAGCGAGTCCCAGTTGATTTACACAAATATGGGTGTAGCACTATATACACAATGTGCCCCCACTGGCATGAAAATGATTCTTCACTTACAAGTTCCACACTCAGTTATTTGAAAATTATTATTTGGTTCATGTTTAGCAAACCTCTTTCACCAATGCTTCCACTCAACGGGACTGTGAAAGATCTAATACTGAGAATAAATTTTTTTCAAAAATTATTGTAAAATCATGTATAATTACTAATTTTTCCCCAAAATTAATTGTAAAAATCATGTATAATTACTAATTTGTCAAAAAAATTATTGTAAAATCATATATAATTACTGTATTTAAAATGTACTGTATCTTCTTCACCTCCTCTGTTACCACTTTGGGTGTTGAGGGAGATATAAGGTTTTACTTCTTGCTGTTCTGGCCACTTTGACCGTCGACACATCATACTGTTGTAGTTTCTCTGATGTTATCCATCTTGTTCTTGCTGTACATCCTTCTGTTTTCATGAATGCCTTGTCTGGTATGCCCTCACAAGGCATTCTCTCTGAGTGGGCAAATAATTTGATTTACTGTGTTTGTATGCCATATAGAATGGTTCTGTGCCAACTTTGAGCTTATGACCTCATTTCTGATTGTATCTCTTCTTGTCACTCCTGTAGCCCTTCTCTGATATCTCATTTCCATGATTACTAATGTTCTTTTCTGGTTTATTGTGAGTGACCATGTCTGGTACTGGTAACGTAGGCTGCAAATAAATATGCTTTGCATGAGATGTTTCTTTGTGCTGATTGGGATTGTCTTATGCTGTAAAGATAGGGGGAAGGGGGTGAGGGGGAGCAGTATCTGCCTCAGTACTTGGTTTGCTTTACCACATCGGATGTTATTTTCTTTCATCCGATTTACCATCTTCAGTTAAAGTTGTTTCAATATATTTAAACTGAGTGTACAGTTTGTCTTCCACTGTTGTTTCCACTCAACAGGGCTGTGAATGATCTGATGCTAAGGATTCTGTTTTTCAAGGACTATGGTAAAAACTTCATCAAGAAGCACAAGTTAAGCCCTGATGCTTTCATCCAGATGTCATTTCAGCTGGCTTACTATAGGTATGGGATTCTTCTCTGGCAGGTATGGCCCAGATGCTGACCTAGTCTCATAAGGTGTTCAACTACTAGTATGATGATGGAGATAGCAGCAGTCACAGGTGCACTTGCATGGCCAGCGGAACAGAAAGCAGTGCATGCATTGATACAGACTCTGTGAGCATGCTTAAGAAGTTCAAACCAGCAGTCTGACTAGAATGGGTTGACAGCATCCAGAAGTCCCACCTCAAGAAACTATCTTGGCTTCACACACCAGGACACGCTGGAGTGAAAGGAAATTAAAGAGCTGACAGACTGGCCGTGTCTGCACTAGTTAATAGAGGAAGAAGTATAGACCAAGCAGACGTACTGACCGCGCTGCATTCCAGAGATTTTTAGACAGAGCAGTGAGAGATGATTAACATGTATGTGAAACGTTTGTATGTGAAACGTAGACAATAAGCGTACAAGCTGAAAAACATTTACTTGCAGTGGAGGTATGGTTTTTAATTTACAAAAAAAAAATGCAAAGCCTGTCATGGAATGATAGGAAAGCAAACAAGGCATTCAGAAAAGCAAAATGAGGCAGATGAAAGTTGTAAACTGATTAGAAAAATTAGGTGGGGACAATGTTTATCAGGCAGGTTTTGAGACAGAATGGATTTGAGAACTTGGTAACAACTGGCTAGACTGATGAAGAGAGAGCCAGGGAAAGGCAAAGTGGTAAGTACCTGGATGGCTTGGCCATAGGAGTGGGGGGCGAGACAAGAATGCTGAATTTATCCATGATTCTGGTGATCATCTGAGAAGGTGAAACATAAGTCTCTGCTTATCGACAGGGGGCACAAGGATTTTCGAGAGTAGGAATGTTAGAAATGTGGCCCTTGATGAACCTTGTGCAGCCCACAATGTCCAAATTTATAAAGCTTCATACTTGTCTTTTATTGTTGGGAGCACACTACACATTATTTTGTATGTGTGTAAGCAGTTTTTTTTTTTTAATTAAAAAAAAAACTGAAAGGTCTAGGCTGACCCATAAACTGTGGGTAATAGTGACTAAAGTAGATAAGTGGCTTAGAAGGTTAGTAAACTAGTTTTACAGTTCTTGATGTACCAGGGTTCAATTTTCATGGTTGACAGTTAATTAAAAAAAAAAAAGTTCTGATGGCTTTCAGTATGGTAAGAGAGTCGCAGAGTGACAGATATTGGGACCTCACCTTGTAATTTTACCAAAGGCAACAGACTTCTTCAGAGTAGTAAAGATCCATTTTCACACCTTTTGCGCATCTGGCATATTGGAAGAGCATCCCATATTTTTAAAGAACAATCGGCACTAGGTGGGTAATGTGGTCAGCATTACGCCAGCCGTCTTTACTCCCCCAGGACAGCCATCTTGGTAAGAATTTTAGACTGGGTCAACTTGCGACGACCCATACCATGATAAAAATCCACGCAGCCAGCAGTGGGTTTCGATCATGTTACGTTGGAATTACTAGTCGGACTCGCAACGCCTAAGCCACGGCCGCCACCACATACTTCTTTAGGGGGAAAAAAAAGTATGAGCAAGCCAGGACATTTAAGTTTAATACAGAACAAGATTCACCCAGCCCCCAGAAAGAACAAACTGCCAGGCATTTAAGTTTAATACAGAACAAGATTCACCCAGTCCCCAGAAAGAACAAACTGCCAGGCATTTAAGTTTAATACAGAACAAGATTCACCCAGCCCCCAGAAAAAACAAACTGACAGGCATTTAGACTATTGTCTCCAAGATTGTCACAGGCCATTGTCACTGAAGATGATAAAATACTTTTTAAAAAAATGTGTGCATTACTAATGCAGGTATTTTCATACTGAAAGTGATACATTGTATCAGGTATTTTGAGATGTTAAAATTTATCTGACCTTGACAAGTTAAATGTGTAGTTAAGTCAGAAATATGCAGCCCAGTGATAACATATAACAGTGTGGTTCACTTTGACAACACGTAACAGTGTGGCTCACTGTGACAACATGTTACAGTGCTGTTCACTTTGACAACACGTAACAGTGTGGCTCACTGTGACAACATGTTACAGTGCTGTTCACTTTGACAACACGTAACAGTGTGGCTCACTGTGACAACATGTTACAGTGCTGTTCACTTTGACAACACGTAACAGTGTGGCTCACTGTGACAACATGTAACAGTGTGGCTCACTGTGACAACACATAACAGTGTATCTCACTGTGACAACACGTAACAGTGTGGCTCACTGTGACAACATGTAACAGTGTGGCTCACTGTGACAACACATAACAGTGTATCTCACTGTGACAACACGTAACAGTGTGGCTCACTGTGACAACATGTTACAGTGTGGCTCACTGTGACAACACATAACAGTGTATCTCACTGTGACAACATGTAACAGTGTGGCTTATTGTGACAACACAGAACAGTGTGGCTCACTGTGACAACACATAACAGAGTGGCTCACTGTGACAACATATAACAGTGTGGCTCACTGTGACAACATGTAACTGTGGCTCACTGTGACAACATGTCACAGTGTGGCACAGTGAGCCACAGTTACATGTTGTCACAGTGTGGCTCACTGTGACAGCATGTAACAGTGTGGCTCACTGTGACAACATGTAACACTGTGGCTCACTGTGACAACATGTCATAGTGTGGCTCACTGTGACAACACATAACAGAGTGGCTCACTGTGACAACATATAACAGTGTGGTTCACTGTGACAACATGTAACAGTGTGGCCCACTGTGACAACATGTCACAGTGTGGCTCACTGTGACAAGATGTAACTGTGGCTCACTGTGATAGCATGTAACAGTGTGGCCCACTGTAACAACATGTCGCACTGTGGCTCACTGTGACAACATATGTTGATAATGCTGATCTTATAAGAATTAAAAAGGCAAGGAGGGCTTTTATAATACTAGGAAAATTTGTGGAAAGTAAAGGACACACTTTTAAACATTCTGTTCTCTCTTCTTATCTTATTGATGATAAAACTTTTTTAAAAACCACTTGCTAGGATATACAAACAACCTTGTGCAACATATGAAGCGGGTTCCTTGAGAAAATACCAGTTAGGACGTACTGAGACCATCCGTTCCTGCTCCATAGCCTCTGTGGCGTTTACAAAGGCTATGGACGACCAATCTGTGCCGTGCAGTAGGAAGGTGGACTTACTGAAAGAGGCAATCAAGTCACACAGGAAGTACATTGATGATGTAAGTAGCTGGTGCAGCTGTTCATGTATGAAGTTTTAATCTTCTTCTTTTTTTCGTTCGCTTGAAATGAATTATCTATATCTGCAGTGTTGTCTTCACTGTCTTTTGTAATTCACTCAGCGACCCGTAAAGTTTGACTTGCACCAATATTTCTCTTGGCCAAAGGTTTTGCTTGATATGTTGTATTTGGGACAGTCTGGAGGAATTGTGTGGTATCGTTGTTGCTATATGTTCCATAAATTATTTGACCATAATAAATGTGGGTTTGTTGACTTTAAAAAAAAAAATGGCCACCTCATATAATATATCAAAACAATGGATCAACATCATGGCACTCGGGTAGGAACCCATAAGTGCTCTGTTCTTCTTCTAACTAAAGTCTGAGTCCGAAGAAGCTCAGCACAGTGCACAGGCTCTTTAGTACCAGCGAGAATCCTGAAGTACTTTGGGTAGATTGTGAACTCAAAATTTAGGGATTTTTTACTTGTGCAAAAATGCACACGGCCCTCCCATCTCACTACCCAGAGACTAGGAGGAATTACTATAAGTCCAAGTCCACGTGAAAAAGGTCCCAGCCCTTACCGGGGATTGAACCCGGAACCACTAGCACTCGAGGCGGACACCATGCCTTGAGACCATGCAGCTCCCCCTCACATTATATTGGTGAACTGGCCACTACCCCAAAGACTTTATGTCATCCAAAACCTGTAAATGCGGAGAAAACTGGCTTACTCAGGCGACAGGTTTAATGGGCACTAGGTCCTAGAACACCACACAGGAAGAGAAGAAAGGTATTTACATTTAGTTTCGGAATTCCATGTTTACATTTCTTGCTGTCTCTGTTATTATTCTGAAAAATACACAGCCACATAGTGCTATTAGTATTCTTTAGCTTTAAAGATTTTCAACAGTATAAAGATGAGCACAGAATATATGTAACTTCTTGAATATGTAAATGCACGAGACGGGAGAGCTGGCGAGAGACAGAGTTTCTTTCAGGCAAACTGTGATGAAAGCGATGTTCTGCAAAGGACCTGTTCATCATCATCATCAGGTGCCTTGCCGACTGGCGTGGGCGATCATGCCTCTCCATAATCTGCGATCTCCTGCAGCATGTATCAGTTCGTGTGCCGACACACCTCCATGCCATGCAACAAGACTGTCAAGCATCTTCTCTCGTTGTCTTCCTCTTTCTCTCCTTCCTTTTAAATCATGCCTCAAAGGACCTGTTACATGAATTTAAATATTGAATCCAACACATTATTGTGTCTCTCCATAAAACAGACTTTAAATAGGAATATACATCATTCCCCCCCCCCCCCCTCCTTTTTTTCTTTTTTTTTCTTTCTCGTTTTTGTTGTTGTTGTTTAGAGACTTACATTAATGGTTCAGGTATTCACACTTTCAATCCCAGACAATTATTAACCTTAGACTAAATCTCTCCCTGTGTGGTTTCCAGGGCCCCATTGTGTGGTAAGGGTGGGGGGGGGGAGTACTGCCCCCTAACAAGCATGTTATAAGAGGCAACTAATTTAGGATGTTTACTTCAAAGCCGGAGTGTATCTGCCTGAGAGAACAAGGAACCAACAGTCTGCATACAAATAAGGCAGACTGTGAAATGGATGTGCACACACAACTCAGAAAGTGGATGAATAGCCAGAACTTTCCAACAGAGTTTATAGCTGGTAAATTGAAGAAGAAGTAGACACAATTTGTATTGAGGAGACAAATTAATAAAGCCATATTTCAGAATTGGTAAAACATCTGCACTAACTTCAGAGCTGAGGCAACTGCCCTCCTTCTGCAGTCCAACATCTCATCACTCAAAAACGCAGAGGGTACAAAATTGTTATACTTAGTGACTCTGTTCTCCAAGGACTATCAAGAAAAAAAAACAAGACAAACTAATTGCAGATCTAAGGACCAACATTGGCTTACTCTCCAAGGAAGCAGAACTGGTCTTGCAGTGGATACCAGCCCACTGTGGTATTCAAGGAAATGAGAGAGCAGATGAGTTGGCAAAAGCTGGGATTAATCTTCCACAACCTCATCCACCACACAGCTACAAGGAAACCAAAGCAGCGCTAAAGCAGTCTTTCAAGCAGGAGTGGAGAAGGCAGAATGGAGATAACAGACCAGAGAGTGACAGCATAAACAAACTCAGCAGGAAAGAACAAACATCAATTTTTAGACTTCGGACAGGACACTGTGGTCTTCGAGCACACTTGTACAGGATAGGCATAAAAGAATCTGCTGCCTGTGATTGTGGAGCAGAAAGACAAACCCCAGAGCAAAGACTGTGGATCCGGCCCAAGGAAGCCACATTGCAAGAGAAGCTATGGGGGACCGGTGGCGACCTTAAACGCACAATAATATTTGTGACCCAGACGGGACTCAGTGTTTAGCATGACTGACGTCGAACGCAGAAGAAGAAAAAGAATTGGTAAAAAAGTATCACATTGGAGAGCATGCATTAATGTGAAAGAGCAGGACATAGAAATGTATTATATGTAACTTAGAGCAGTCAAGTTTATAGTGACTATTCTGGTTCTGAAGGAGTTATAAGACATTTTGTAAATTCCATGCATGTGTTTTTTTTCTCTGTCCTGACTACAGACTGTTAATGGAAGAGGTGTTGACAGGCATTTGCTGGGGCTGAAACTTGTGGCATTGGAGAACAACATGGATGTACCAGAACTGTTCATGGACCTGGCTTTCAAAGAGAGCACACACTTCCGGATGTCAACAAGTCAGGTATGCTAGGTTCTTCTTTTGTGTAAGCCATTAGAAGGACGCTTGGCACCTTGTGATTTACAGTTAGGCTGCAATATCTACACCCTTCGTCTCAACAAATATAATTTCAGCAAACTCCTGATCAGTTGCCTTTTTGCAAGTGAACAGAAGAAGCAGAAGTTGCCTTTTTACAACACAGTTGTATCTCTTTACAAGAGATACCCCAGTAGTTATGTATGTGATATATACTTGCACTGCCAGACCTACAGATAGGCTCAAAGTGCTGCAAGCAGTCATATCTCAGAGTAGCCGCAGATAAGAAACACCTCCTGCAAGAAGCCCTAGACAGAGCTAAGGGTCATAGACTGAAAGGAAGGTCTTGGATAGCGCAAGCTGAAGACACAATTAGACATGTGTGCAAGCTTGATAGCATTGGGTGAGGAGAGGAGTGGGTCAGAATGTCCCAGCAAGAGTCATACTTGTGAAGGGTTCGGATCACAATGGACCATGAGTGCAGGAACTGACCAGCGGGCTGTGCAGAATCAGAAGTTAAACAAATGATTCATGACAATTCTCGCCCAGGTGATGTGATAATTTATGCAGATGGCTCTGTGATGAGAGGCAGACAGTGCAGCAGAGCCTGGCATGTGACACTACATCTAGTTTGAGGTGAGGCAGTAATTGCAGCCTTTCACTGGCCAGATAATCAGTTCTATACACATGTTGTAATTGTAACCGACTCACAGAGCATGTTGACAAAGGTGGAGACTGGTATGCTCTGTGAAGAGTGGCAAGCATCACTTCAGAGGTCTCAGGTAGTTAGCGTCCTTTTGTTACCCCCCCCCCCCCTGCCAGGAAATGCCTGTATATTGAAAAGTGAGCAGGCAGATAGCCTGACTGGTTTTGCACAACTTGGTCGTGAACTGATACACGACAAGCTAGATGTTGTAAGGTCCCTTTGGGAGCGAGTGAATGGTGTGGAAGCACAGATGGATCATCACGGTCTGAAAAGAATGGTACTGGGAGGAGTGACCAAGGGATCGGGTCGACGATCAGCACTCAAGGGAAAGGTGAGACGAATATACAATAAGACTGCTATTGGCACCACTGGAGTTAGAACTCTGCGCTTGCTGCTGAAAATGAGGACATAGCGCTTATGAGAACGTCCCAATTGCTGTGATATCGATTCTTAATTAAACATCAACTGTAATGGACACCTAACAAGAATGCCCTGGTACTATCTGCTATAGCGAGCCACACTAAAACGTTACAACGGGTATGGAGCGAGTGGAAGACCTAGGAAAAATATGGAGTGATGGCATTAAGAACAACCTTGCAGAAATGAACATCAGTCTTAATAGTACCAGATAGTACTTAATAGTGCTCTTGACAGAGCTCATCAACGAATATTGCTTCTCCCCCCGACACCTCGCTGAGGTCCAAGGTGGAAGAGAAGAAGAAGGGAGCAGTATGTCTGTTTCTTCCCCCTCCCCCAATGGGGCCCTGGAACCCACAAGAGTAGTATGATAGTCTGGCCTTCAGAATGCTGTAGTGGAGGTTACTTGATATCAAGAAATAATGGTGTGTGTATCGGGCTGCAACCAATGAGGTTTAGCGGGTAGGAGGAGGTGCCAGTGTGGTCATATTTAGAGATCAACATAGTAGGTGAGGGTTGTCTGCATTGCAGTTGGTGTGATGATGATAAATAGGATTTAGAGTAGACTATTCAGAAAGGAGTGAAGCTATCAGAACTGCTAGGGTAGAAGAATAAAGATTGCAAGATACCCGTAAAAACTCAGGTCAGAAGAATAAAACTTCTTATTAGATGAGGTACATTAATATGCAAATGTCCCCGTGTAGGTTCCGGGGCTCTATTGTGGGGAAAACAACTAAAAGTCCAGAAGTGGACAAACAACCAGAACTTTCTGCTGGAGTTTACAGCCGGTGAACGCTTAGAAGAAAGAAGAAGAATTTGCATCATCTTAGGAAGGAGGAGCAGAAGGCTAACCAGCACAAAGATGGGCATACAGGATATAAGTGACTTCTTGGGTATGAAGGTTTATAAGATGGAGAGCTGGCGAGAGATGAGTTTCTTTCAGGCTATCGCAATGAACGAGACATTCTACAAAGGACCTGCTACCTGCTGATAATCATCTTGTTTTTAGCATGACATTTTATGTTAGTCATATAAAATATTAAATTAAAATATTCCAGTGACACATTTTTATCTGCTTCTTTCTCAACAGGTTGCCTCCAGATACAAAGCAGTCTTATGTTTTGGACCGGTTGTTCCGGATGGTTATGGTCTCTGCTACAATCCTCAAAATGAGGAACTTATCGTGTCCATCAGCTCCTTTAACAACAATCCACAGACAGACTCTGATAAATTTGTGGCTAGTCTCAAAACATCTCTACAGGACATGCAGGCACTATTGATAAGCCATTCTCATCCAAAATAATTAGTTGATTTGAATACAAGTCTTTGAATCATAACTGCCAAGTGTCACTCTCTTATATTTTATTTTTTGGTGGAGGGAGGGGCGGAAGTCACATCCTGTAATTTTCCCCCACCCCCATGTTTGGTAATATTTGCTGGTGAATCTATTCTGGCATCACAAACAAAATATTGAGGTCTTCACCAGTCTCCGTATTTTGTCTTGAAGAGTTCATTCTTGCACCAGATGTGTTCCCTCTGACAAAATCTGGGCAGTCTTGTCAGACAGACTCTGGAGTTTAATGCTCCATTTCTGCATGGTAATCAAGTAATCACAGTTTCAGCTTCATAGCAAATTGGTCACCCTATAGCTGCTCCATTCCCGTAACAAGGAAAACCACACACAGTGTCCATCACTGTCCCTTGTGGGAAAAATGGACACAAACTGCAGTCTCAGCAAATTCAATAGCAGATGCACACATTCAGTGCATAAGGCAGCCACTCAGAAGTGCTGATACAAACAGTCAACACTAGGAATGCAATTCATTATCGAAAGAATTTGCAATTATAACAGATCAGTAGTTGCACACACAATCAAGTACATAAGGCACCACCAGTTCTGTGGCAACAGGCCACTAGCCATTTTCTGAATCTACAGTTAACAATATAAACAACGTTGGTCACAGTGAAAAAACATCTCACATGACATCAGCAGCTCAAAGTGTCATGCCATGCACTAAACTCATTAGCTGGGTGACAAAACTATTTCCTTTCAGTCCACATATGGAGGAAAATGCAACAGCCAACTATTGTCAGAAGTAAAAACTTGCTTCAGCTAAAAACAGTTAACCCGTCTATCGGTAATGACAGAAAGATTAGGATATGTGTATGTGGCAGTCAGTGAAACCCCTATGGTTAGAGTGCACTCTTGACTTTACAGTATGCTTTTCTAATCTGAGCATTTTTTGCCAAGCTGATTTATACTGAAGTGCTCTGCGATTATCATTTTCTTCTGTCCACTTCATCTTTGGACCTTTTTAGGAGTGCTTCTGCTTCTTTAAAGCTCTGAGGTGGATGGGGCCACATTATTTTCCTTGAAGTCTTTGCATGCTCATCTTAATTTTAATTTCCAGAGATGCAATGGTGCGCCAATTTTATTCTTGTGGACACTGTTCTTATAGAGTTTTAATGCAGTGGATAACGTCCCATTATGGAGTGCCTGGAAATGAGAAAGCTGATCAACTGGCAGGGGAAGGTACAACAAAAGTGCATCCGGATGTACTGGTCACATACCACTAAAAGAAAAGGATCATTTAATCGATCAGGAAACCACCAGCCCCAGCACAAGACGACTATTTTTTTATGGACAGATCAGAACAAGTCATTATCCTCCGCCTCAGAACAGGGCACAACCGATTACCTAACCACATATACACAAAATTCAAGATAGGCGTATCAGCCATGTGCACCTGTAGAAAGGTGCCCCAGACAGCAGAGCATGTACTCCAGGACTGCACCGAATTTGGCACATTAAAGCAAACCTTTTGGCCAGAAAGAACAACAGTGGAACGTAAACTCTATGGACCACTGAATGAACTAACAATGACAGTGAAATTTATACAAGAGACAAAATTGCTGAAATAGACAATTTATTTCAGGCAAACGAAAGAAGCAGAAGAAGAACTGTTCTTATGTGGGTTTTTTAATTTCATAGATAATGATGTCATGACTAGAGCACAATATGATAGTTTGTTTAAATTTTGTTCAATTAGTGAGCGCCTGCACAGCTAAAAGAAGGGTTGATGACAGTTTGTTTAAACTTGGTTCAATTAGTGAGCGCCTGCACAGCTAAAAGAAGGGTTGATGACAGTTTGTTTAAACTTGGTTCAATTAGTGAGTGCCTGCACAGCTTAAAGAAGGGTTGATGACAGTTTGTTTAAATTTTGTTCAATTAGTGAGCGCCTGCACAGCTTAAAGAAGGGTTGATGACAGTTTGTTTAAATTTTTGTTCAGTTAGTGAGCGTCTGCACAGATTAAAAAGGGTTGATGACACTTTGTTTAAATTTTTGTTCAATCAGTGAGCGTCTGCACAGCTAAAAGAAGGGTTGTCGCCTCTGCTCTGAAGTTGATGCAGGTTGCTCCGAAAACTCTGGTAATGTCGCTTGTCTATCTGGTACAGAGACACATCTTAAATCCTCTATACTCTATGATGAATGTGTCAAACATTTCCTTCATCTAACCAAGACATGTATATCATCTTGTGTCAAGGACTGAACATCAGTGACAACAGGTGAATGTGTCTGACCACAGGGCAAGTCCCTTTCAAACTGTCCGAAGATTCTCTACTGTTACTGTGTTATAAGAAGACTTTCACAGCAATGTTTACTTGTCTATCAGAGTTCCCTTTGGCCTCATTTTCTTGGCTTCTTCCTCTGCCTGCAAGATAAAATAAACAATAAATGAATTAGCTGAGTGATTATAATAACGGATGGCTTGACTTTACATATTCTTCAGAGAAGAAGAGTCTCACAGCAAAGTCTGGACAATCCTATGCTACATGCCTTGGAGTTTGCTTCTATGCACAAATGCCTGTGGCAGAGTCAGTGATTAGGTTTAGGTGTCCTCTGAGTATACAGTGTTGCAGCAAAGAAGGATGGACAAACCACCTCAGGTTGGTAGAGTCAGCGAAGCTCATACAGTGTTGTAGCAAAGAAGGATGGACAAACCACCTCAGGTTGGTAGAGTCAGCGAAGCTCATACAGTGTTGTAGCAAAGAAGGATGGACAAACCACCTCAGGTTGGTAGAGTCAGCGAAGCTCATACAGTGTTGTAGCAAAGAAGGATGGACAAACCACCTCAGGTGATAGAGTCAGCGAAGCTCATACAGTGTTGGTGCACTCTATGTTTAGTGTTGGATCAAGGATGGGTTTACAAACCAGCCTTTTGTGGCACAGCCAGGTCCATACAGTGTATGTGTACATTGAGGTTACAGCAAAGAAGGGTTTGCAAACCAACAGTAAGTGGCACAGTCAGCGAGTCTCATACAGTTTAAGCATACATTGAATTTACAGCATTATATCAAAGAAGGCTTTACGAAACAATCTTATGTGGCAGAATTAACAAGGCTGAGTTCACGCTGAGTTCACAGTGTTACATCAAAGAAGGCTTTACGAACCAATCTCAGGTGACAGAGGCAGTAAGTCTCATACAGTGTAGGTGCGTAGGTGCATTCTAAGTTTACAGTGTTCCAGTCAGAAGGGTTTGCAAACCTACATCACTCTGGTGCATCAATGACTATTTCAGGGCTCAAACAACCTGAACATTGACATGTCTTATTTAACTAAAATTCAGTCTTCCAGAAGATTCTCAATCAATCAATCCTAATAATTTTAAGGAATGTCTTGCCCATAAAATTAAAATCTAGCAAAGTCTAAGCCCAAATACTAGGCTCAGAGCAACCTGACAGGTGAGACAATAAAAATGCAGAAGCTAAAACAGAGACACTTACCTGTTCCATCAATTTCCGCTTGCTCATCCCCTTCCTCAGAAGCTGTTTCTCGATAACTTGAGCATTTGCTGCATAGGAATCAGCAACCTCTTTCTGAAATGTGATTAACGTCAAGAAATTAACAACAGCAGTTCATGGACGGTGCGTTAAGTTAAAAGATATTATAAATAACAGTTAAATCACACAGATGATAGAATGAAACTTTCTTACTGACAGACTAATCCTCTAAATATCATTAAAGAAGTGAAGTCTACAGAGTTCTCAGCATCAGAATTTTACTTATTCAATTCTTCTGCCCTTGGGTGCAGCTATCTCCAGAGTCGAACTTGAAGTAGACAACCGTCAGTTCCTAGAGACCATCATTATTTCCTTTATGTTTATGGAAAGTTTAGTTAACTGCACCTTCAAATCATTTGAAGGTTGCGCTGGCATTTTTTTAAGCGTACGTTGAGAATGCACTGCAGCCCTGCCAAAAGCGTTTTTTGAATACACCTGCATCCAGAACTCTTGGCTTCCTTCATGGTATTTCTATTTTCAACTGGTGTCTTCGCTGATCTTAAGCAGATTTAGACAAATTCTTGACTATTGCTGCGGCACTCAGTGTGAGAACTGTTGCCCTTGAGTATAATGTAACGTCATCTTAAAAAGATGAAAAGGTGCTAATTAATAAGCCTGGCAAAAATTCATAGGTAAAGAAAGTATCAGACTCACAGCTTCAAGTTCTTCTTCTTCCTCATCGACGGTTGACACTGTCACAGAACTGAACTTGCCCATGTTCTTTGTGTGTTTCGTCAGGGTAACCTATAAATACAACATAAAATCCTGAGCAAAACTGATTTAAAACCGCAAAAAATAATAACTAAATGTACATGAAATAAGCCGTGAAACAATATAAGATCTGACAATTAAGTAATGAGACTGATTTTCTTATAGCCAAGACAAAAATGTCATAAATGAAGCAAAGCATGGAATCCAAAGAGGCAACCTTCATCTATGATCTGACAACTTTGCCTGATAAGCAGACGACAAACAAGCCGCCATTTTATTGACCTAGTTAGATGTGCATTGTTACAAAATCAGCATGGAGCAAAAAGCTAACATTAAATTCTGTTTGAAACTCAGAAAAAGCACCATTGAGACAGTTAAATTGATGCAAAAAGTTTATGGGGTAATTGTTTATTTCATGCACAGATTTTCAGGTGGTATTCACAATTCAAAAGTAGTGTAGAAATGATTACTAATGCAACTAGACCTGGACACCCAGTTTCTGTTCGTAATAAGGAACTCATTGCAAAAGTCAGAGAACGGATACAAAAACATCGTTGTTTGACTTTAAGTATGATGATGAATGAATTTGATGTTAATGGAGAGACCATTTGTAAAATTTTAGTGGAAGATCTGGGCAAGAAAAAAGTTGCTTGCCGGTTTGTACCACATTCCTTGTCTGATGACCAAAAACATCAGCGTGTTGAGTACGCAACAGACATCATCAAAACATGTCACAGAAATAAAGATTTCTTAAATTTGATTGTTGTAGAAGATGAAACATAGATTTTCTGCTATGATCCCACAATGAAACGCCAAAGTGCTCAGTGGAAGTCAACATCATCACCAAAAGGCAAAAAAATATGTCTTTAAAAGTTGAAAGTGAAGACTATATTGGTGTGCTTCTACGACAATAAAGGAGTTTATTCATAAAGAATTTATTCCAGAGGGGCAGACTGTCACAGCCAGTTTATTTAAGTATTTTGAAAGGTCTATTGAAAAGGATTTTCAGAGTCCAAACCGAATATTCAACACCTGGCAGTTTTTTTAAACTTCTTCATTGTATAGGAATTTTCGGCGCAAAAACAAGTGTGTGTTCTCAACCATCCACCCTACTCCCCCGATTTGTCTCCCTGTGATAATTTTCTATTCCCAAAATTAAAGTTACCATTGAAAGGACGCTTCTTTGACAATATTGATGACATCCAAAGGGCCCTTAACATCGACTTTAAGGGCCACAACAACAGAAAAACTACAGAGGACGTTCCAGTGTTTGTTAGATCAAACCACTAGCTGTATCAATGCAAAAGGGGCTTTTTTTTAAAAATAAAACACAGGTTATGTCTTCAACTGATTATTATTTTAATTTTTATGGAGTTAGTCTCATTACTAAAATGTCAGACCTTGTATTAAAAAAATTAATGTCCTTTACAGAACGTCACTCTCTTCAGGGCACACCTAAAACGGGCGCTAGGCGGGCCACTGTTTAGAGCCGAGGCAAATTGTTTGCTTTTGCCGGACGGTGGCCGATGTGTTTTTGTTCTATTTGTAGACTGGATATAGTTTCGTCGCCCAGCTTCTGAGTTGAATGCATGGCATGACACTGTGAGCTACGGATTTCATGCTTTAACGCGAGTGTATGCTAGATATGCTGAGACAGCAGTCTGTCAATCTTTCCACAAGGGACTGTGATAAACATTCTGTGTTTTTTTTCTCGTTGGCACAGGAGTGGAGCAAAGATGGGGTGACCGTTTGCTATGAAGCTGAAACTAAGAATACCAGACATCTAAAAGTTTCTCTTTATCTAGCTAATTGTCCAGCCCTGTGTGCTTTCATAATCAATAAATTTTAAGTGTTCTGTATCTACCTTTTCAGCGGTTGGCCTTTGCATCAATTCAGTTCTTTCCAGACCTAATGATGCTTGACATGTCCAAAATACCTCAGCTTTTAGGAGAGGATGCTGTTTATGAGCCAGTTCTCTTGGTGGTACAGGTTATGCTGGATGCTAAAGTTTTTCTTCTTCTTGGTTTATGGCATTCTCAGAATTTTTGTGTAGCGTTCTGGTGCCGTTCACGCCTCCAGGCTCAGGATTAGAGTAACTTCCCTTGCCTCCTTAGGTCACTGGACCTCTCCTATATTGCGGGGGAGTTTTTTTCCCTCTTATTGTGAACGGTGTAACCGTTGCCTCTTTTCTCGTCCTCTCACCGCTCACTTGCGTGATTATTTTCATGTTCTGCTACCTGCGTGACGGTTCGGGAGTATGGAAACAGCAATATTTTTATATTCCTATGCTCCTTGTAACTGCTTTCTTTCTCTTGGGGGGAAGCGACCACCAACAAAAGTAGAAATGCAAAAACATCTCAATTTTGACAGACAAGAATCGTTCTGCCTTTTTACTTGTACATAGGCGCCTGAAATAGACTCACAACAGCACAACCTCCCACAAATATTACATATGCTGAGCGAACGCCAAACCAAGCCATATCATAACACCCCTGCAACATAGGAAGGGTCCAGTAACATAAGAGGCATGAATGACAAGGGAAGTTACTCTAATCCTGGGCCTGGAAACATGAACAGGTCCAGCGTTTCAATTCAAAAGCTCAAATTTTCTTATTTAAATATTAAGTAGGAGTCCATGACTCACATCCATAAGTTCCCTGTGTGGGTTCCAGGGCCCTATTATAGGGAAAACAAAAATAGACCCACTGCCTACCCAAAGGCATGTCGTAAGAGTCAACTAATTGGGAGATTCCTTCGAAGTCGGAGTGCATCTGCCTGAGAGGTGAGGAATCAACAGTCTGCATAAAAATTAGTCAGATCTGTCAAACGGATGCACACGCAACACTCGGGTTCTGGAACAGACTGCAGTCCAGCAGTGGACAACCAGCCAGAACTTTCTGCCGGAGTTTACAGCCGGTGAACGTGAAGAAGAAGAAAAAGACATCCATAAGTTGCACTCAACATTGTTACTAGTAACTTGCTTGCAGGTTCTGTGCCATCGTTTCTTCATGATGTTTAGCCTCTGCATTGCTAAGCAAGTCTTTTTTCCGATTTCTTTTGCGTATTCGTCGTAGTAAATTATGGAATGTGAATATTCCATATATGTGACATTTTCAATCTCTTCATTGTCGGTTATAATAATATGTGGTTAAGTGTGCTGCATTCATTATGGACACAACAAACAAAATACATTAAACAGAGCAGTGCTTAACAGTGAAATAAATACAATTTAATTATTTCAGTTCCAGAATACTGCACACACAAAAACCACTGCACACAAAAAAAAGTCATTTATGTGAAATAATGCAATTCTTTCACTAGCCTTTTTACAGGTAATTTTTTGTTACTCCGCAGCCCATGACATTCACAACATTCACCTCAGAAACCACATCTCTGCTGTCTCCAAGTTCTTCCTCATTCTGTTTTTAAATAATAACCGACAACAGCAATTACTTTTAAGTGAAATACTTGTCACTTACTTTCTTTGGTTCGCTGAGCTGGCTGTAAATATCAGTCTTGATTCCTTCATTCTCTCGTTTCAGAGCTCCATCAACTACGAACATGACTGAGCTGTTGCCCTGGTGGTGGTAATACAGCAACAGACCACACCTGCAAGAAAAACAGACAGAATAATAATAAATCATGAACGCTTTAAATCCTAGAAGGTTTTTACTGCAGATGCTCAAGGAGGAAATATTATTTTTACTCTTTGAATTTACCACTTTTTAGGGCACTGTAAGACAGACAGTCTTGACCACATTATAAATCATAAGTAAATTGCTTCCATGAGTTTCAGCTTAATACATAATGCATGTGGCTACTGGAGAAGCCAGATTTCTTTTACATGTTCTGACAAATGTTAAAAGTTATCAAGAAGACATTACATGATGACAGAGATTCACAATAACCAGTTATATGCTCAGTCATCCACTGAACGATAACAAATTCAATTTACAGAAGTAAATTTCTCAGTTGTACTTAATGCGCCCCCCTGTTTATGTGTATATAGCAAAGAGGTGACAGGACTCATTACTTTAGCTAGAATGCATAAAATGCAACAAAAAGTGGCAGCATCAAAGTCGTAAGTCAATCCAGATGGTCCAATAAGAGGGATTTCAAGCTTAGTTTGTTTTCTTTTTATCTTCCAGACATTCCTGTGGGTTCTGGTGTCCGGGGGGACAGGAGACAAACTCACTGCCCCGGACAAGCATGCAGTACAAGGTGACTATCAAGGGGTATTTTCTTTGTCGGCATGCATCTGCATGGGAGTCTAGAAACAAACAGTACGCATAAAATTAAACCAGATCTGTAACTGGATGTGCATGCAAAGCTCAAGTTCTGGAACAAGACCCAAGCCCAGAAGTGGATGAACCACCAGAACTTTCAGCTGGAGATTAGAGCCGGGGAACATTAAGCAAAATGAGACTTTCCAGACGGTCCAAAAAGTAAGATTTATTTGTTTAGTTTCTTCCTCAGCAAAAAAAAAAAGTGGCTATATTTGTTCTGTCACTCCTCTTCTACTAGTGTGTTTAGGCTGTAGAGATCACCACATCCTAAAGTAAAAGAGAGTTCATAGCCATCGTGGCGTTCATAGCCAACTTGTATAGCAATGAACAACTCGCCACAGAGAAGTTTAGTAAAGACTGATGTACTCAGCATTATGATTCTTGACGAGAAGATGGAGAAAGGGGTATTAACAAACCATCCAAGCTAACTGTGGGAAAGACAGAAATGGCAATAAAAAATAACCTATACTGTCGTGTACAATTATTTATATAGCATAAACAGCTGCTTCCATACCTTTTACACTTTTGCCGGTATTGTTTCTCCAACCCCTCTGGTCTGAAAAAAAAGATGACAGTAATTAAAATATAAAATATATGTTCTTAAGAATAATACCAACGCACATTAAATTTCAAGGACTATGCAGGCAGCTTCATCATGGAGATATTTTTTAGCAGTTCCCATGGGCTGCCCTTATGTTGTAGGGGTACTGTGAGATGTCTTTGTTCGCCGTCTATACACAGTGTGCCGAAAAGTGGCTCAGGTTTGTTAGATAAGGTCGACACACTGTCTCCCATATGAAGCTGTGTAGCTTTCTTTTCGTAACTCTTTTTTCTGTGAATGACTTGTTTCTGAAATGTGTTTTTGTTGTGATTAGGTCTCAGGCGCCAAGGTGACTGAGTGAAAGGAAGAAGTACTGCATGAGAAGTGCTGAAAGTGCGACGGTTAGTGAGTATAGATAGCACTGGTGTTATTGTATTTTTTTTTACATTTGCTGGTGGTGGATGTGCTTAAAACGGTCAAAACGAGGAACACATGACACGCCTAGATTATACAAGTGTTCCGGGAAATCCCCTAAGAAATCACATGGGGCTGACGACCAAAGTCATAAGGTCAATCTGTGGTCCAATATAAGATGCTAAAAACGATCTGAGTTTTTTCTCTTTCCAGCCTCTCTTCCCCTCCAACATTTTTCTTCCCATGGTCTAAAGAATAGGGCATTTTCTTCTTCTGCACTTAATGGCTCCATTTCTTGGGGGGGCACTTAATCACTTCATTTCTTCTACCCCCTAATCACTTCAGTCATTTCTTCTCTGCGACTAAATCGGGGTATTTTTTCTTCTTCTGCACTTAATCACTTCATTTCTTCTTCTTCTGCACTTAATCACTCAATTTCTTCTTCTTCTGCACTTAATCGCTCCATTTCTTCTTCTTCTGCACTTAATCGCTCCATTTCTTCTTCTAATGCACTTAATCCACCAAAACTTTCTTCTGGAGATTAGGATCACTTCATTTCGAACTTCTCTGCACTTAATCAGACTTTCCAGAAAGTCCAAAAAGTAAGATTTATTTGTTTAGAACCTTCATCAGCATAAAAGAAGTGGCTATATTTGTTCTGTCACTCAATTTTTTCTTCTTCTGCACTTAATCACTCTGGTGTGTTTAAGCTGTAAAGATAATCGCTCCATTTCTTCTTCTTCTGCAGAGTAATCAGTTCATTTCATAGCCATCACTGCAGGCCAAAACTAGTCATTTCTTCAATGAACAACTTAATCCACAGATTTTTTCTTAGTAAGGACTGAATCACTCAGCATTATTATTCACTTTAGGACTCCAAGTTGCAGAAAGGGGTATTAACAAACCATCCAAGCTTACTGTGGGAAAGACAGAAATGGCTATAAAAAATAACCTATACTGTCGTGTACAATTATTTACATAGCATAAACAGCTGTTTCCATACCTTTTACACTTTTGCCGGTATTGTTTCTCCAACCCCTCTGGTCTGGAAAAAAGATGACAGGAATTAAAATATAAAATGTACGTTCTTTAGAATAATATTCAACACACACTAAATTTCAAGGACTAGGCAGGCAGCTTCATCGTGGATATATTTTTTAGCAGTTCCCTAATGACTCAATGGAGCTTGGACCCTTAGACAACTGATGTGAATCCCAACTTTTGCCATCTCCAGCAGCTCACTTCATGGCCTCCTTATATTCTCTAAGACACTATTTAGCGCCTCTAATATACTCTCCCAAGAAGAAACAAAAAAATCAGACATCCTTAAAGTTCTGAACAACAAGGAAGTTAGCTAGTAAACAGTATCTCTCAGAAACTGAAATATTTTGGCCATATCAAGTGCCAGGTGGACTGGAAGGAATATTAGCAGAAGATGGGGCCAACCAGCACGAAGAAGGGCACAGGTTATAAGTGACACCTTGAGCAGGAAAGTGTATGAGGCGGGAAGTCTATTGCGAAATCGAGTTTCTTTCAGACAGGCTGTAATGAGAGTGATGTTCTTCAAAGAACCTGCTACATGATAATGATGAATATACTTTCCACTATGGGCCCCAGTCTTTAGTATCTTGTGTGTGATTTAATGCAACTGCTGTATTCTGTGTTAAAGGCTACTAAAATAGCATAGGTTTTTTTTTTAAAATGTTAGTTTCTAATGTACAGTAGGCAGAAGAGACAGACTGGAAGACACTTTTAACAGTAAGTAAGGAAGACTGCAGAAGTATGGGACAGCAGATGGCAGAGATCGAAGGTGCCGAACAAAGCATATGCTGAGACAGCAGTCTGTTAATCTTTCCACAAGAGACTGATGAACATTCTGTGTGTTTTTCGTTGGCACAGGAGCGGAGCAGCTTTGGGGTGACCCGTTTGCTATGAAGCTGAAACTAACATTACCATTACTTGTGTGTCACATATATATATATGCAGAATATACAAAAGCACTGATTCATCAAGTTTTTGTTACTCACCTCTTGATATAAACAATTTCATCAGGTTCGCATGTCAACTTGTGGGCATGTTTTTGTCCATCTATTACTCTTGCCTTGTCACGCTTTCGCAGAGGTAACTTCTCTATGGGCAGTCTGTTTGGAAATTAACTTAAGTGATAACATTTAAGGCTGGCTGACTGTGATTTCTATGGAAGACTAACTAGTGAGCCAATGCACTGGAGATTAAGTAATGATCTAGGCCCTGAAACGGGCTTGCGTCTGTTGGTTTAATGAATTTTCTAACAATTTTAAAGTACCATCTATGTTGCAGAGCTCTTCTTCTTCTCTCCAAGCTAATAAATAAAAAAAATGAGAGTTACTTGACTTTCACATTTGCAGAGGCATATCAGATTGTAACAAGCTAGGGGCATTGAAAGGTCAGGTGATATCCCGTACATACAATTTTTTGCCCCCCCCCCCCAACCTCCAGTGATGACACACATGCCAAATTGTCCTATTCCTGTGCCATTTTGCACGTGACAACTCCTTCCATGTCTTCCCCATTTTATTTACCCCCGTCAACATTTTTTCTTTCTTTCTCCATCTATCTTTATTTGTTAGACCCTGTGGATTTCTTTTCATTTTTCAGATTTTTTTCAGCCTGCTTTCCTTACATCTTTCAAATTTCTGTAGGATTATTAAAACGTGCAACCTGCACATGGATTTTTGTGTGTGAAATTCTAGGAGAAAGCCAAGATTCTAATCTCATTTATGGTGTTATATATAATGTGTACTATCATAATAGAACCAAATGTTCATGTGAAAATTTGCAGCCTTGTGCTAGAATTCAAATGAGAAACATTAAAACCTGAGACTTAATCAGACACCACAATATGTCAGCATGCCAACCAATTGTTAAAACATTCCAAACTTACCAAACAGCACAAACATTTCATGTTCAGCATGAACATTTTACAAGTGACAGAAAGGTCATGTGAAAGGTGATTTCAGCAATGTTATTAGTATTTTTAAGTTTAAAGAGAGAGAGAGAGAGAGAGAGAGAGAGAGAGAGAGAGAGAGAGAGAGAGAGGAGAGGAGAGAGAATGAGAGAGAGAGAGAGAGAGAATCGTTTGTAGGTATACAGTAAATTTCAATTTTCAAGACCTTGATATTGTTAATAAAATATTTGGCTCTACTGGCAAATTTGGCCTGTAAGCTGGACTGCTTCGGCCGGCTTAGTGGGAGTTATGTCCCTTGGCGTCCCTTCGCCAAACTCGAAACAAGTCGCGGAAAAAGTCACGAATCAAATGACATACTTACCTATCATCATCCGGGTGCGTGTAGGGCTGCGTAGGGTTGCGTCTAGGGTTACCTATCATCATACGGTTGCGCGTAGGGCAGCGTAGAGTGTCTATTATCATCATCATACGGTTGCGTGTAGGGATGCGTAGGGTGTCTATCATCATCATCATACGGTTGCGTGTAGGGTTGCGTAGGGTTTGGGTTAGCGGTAGGGTTAGGGTTAGGGTTAGATGATGTGAAAATATTCACGTAGGAGGTGGAAATACTGGCCGACAATCTGATGCTTGTGGGAGTGGCGCCACTGGAAATGTGCCAAATATGACGGCAATAGCGCGCGGCGGCTGGTGCCCCAATCGGTGGCAAATTGTCCGTGTCAGTAGCATCCACCGTCCGTCAACTGCGCGTGCATGCGACTGTGCGCGATTGTAGGGAACTACGGCGTCACAATTGTCACATCTAACGCTACACCTAACCCTAAACCCTAACCCCTAAACGCTAACCCTACCCCTCATCTATCTTACGCAAACAACCAACCCTACACGCAATAAGCAGCCCTACACGCAACCGTAGGACGATGATAGACACCCTACGCAACACTACACGCACCTGGATGATGATAGGTAAGTATGCCGTTTGATTCGTGACTTTTTCCGCGACTTGTTTTGAGTTGTTTTGAGTTTGGCCAAGGGACATAACTCCCACTAAGCCCCGCTAAGCCGGCCGAAGCAGTCCAGCTAACCGGCCAAATTTGCCAGTAGAGCCAAATATTTAATTAATAGTTTAATAGTAAAAGTAAAAAAGTAAAGATCCCTTTTCACGCCTTTCGGCGCATCGGGCATATGGGCAGAGCGTCCCATATTTTTACAGACCATCAGCACTCTGTGGGTAATGTGGTCGGCATTACGCCGAGTTTAATAGTACATAATATTAATTATAAAGGCTATCCTCCGAATAACGGGAACAAAAGATGGCGGCAAAAAACAGGGCCTTAGTCACGTGTCAATTGCGTCCATCCGGCGACTTAATTTACGGTTTTCCGACGACTACTGCCACCGCCAAGAGACCCTCACGCCGTGTGAGCTAAACTAGATGGCTAGGACTCACAAGCAAAACTGCAGGAGATGCGGAAGCTGCTGCTCGTGAGTCGAGTCCTAGCCATCTAGTTTAGCCCCAATCCACACCGCTCACGCGGCAGTCACCGGAAAACCGCAAATTAAGTCAAGGGAAGTGCGCAATTGACACGTGACTGAGGCTCTGCTAGGATGTTTTTGCGGTCGCTATCTTTTGTGCCCGTTATTCGGAGGATAGCCATTATAAATTATGGATATCTTCTTTAAATAAAATTAATAATTCAATTTAAAAAAAAAAGTTATAGAAAGTAAAGAAAAAAAAAAGACTACTCCTTTCTTAGCGGAGAAAAAAATAGAAACGATCTGCATACGTTTACCAAGAAGTTAAGTACTGACTTACCAAGAATTAATGACATCTGACCACACAAACAATAGTACACATATAGAGGTTTTTCTCCTTGATACTCTTCTTGGTCTTTTGTATCCGTACACACAACACTCTTTGATACAACTTTCGGCATTGTGGCTTACTCTTATAAATTAATAAAGAACAAGTTTTAGACAAATAATGTCACGGAAATCGTCTGTTTCTCACTCTAGCTCTAGTAGTTAGTAGTTGAAACCTTTTTGTCGAAATGTTTACGTTCAGTACGTAATCAATTTATGTGCACATATTGTAATGGTCGTTACCGCCAATAGGTATCAGTTTAAGCCGTAAAATATCTTCTGTCTCTTAATTTGTCATTGAACTTTGCCTTTTGTCCCGATATTTCACAACTTATATTTCCTGTTACGCGATTAAATATTATCAACTGTACTGTTATGGTGAAATAAATAATATAAAATGGTGGTTTACTATACATAAAAAAATTGTTAAATTGCCAAATATTTGACACAAATGACGAACAAGGGAAGTAAGTCTCAACTGCAACCAGTTGTTTACAAGTGTGGTTACCTTGGGACAGACAGAAGGCACATGCATAAACTGTTAGCAAGTTTGGGTACACTATACTACAGATAGAGGCTCAAGCAGGTTCAGGTAGTTCTTGCTAGAACAAAAATAATAGGAAATAGTTGATTATATAGGAAATAGTTGATTACATCGGGAACTAATCTTTGGTTCCTTCCCCCCTCTTTCATTACTTTAATCAATGTACTGTAAATACTGTAATATTACTATCTGGATGGATGCGCGGCTTTGTGGAGGAAGAACTGAAAGAACATATCGCAGGCAATAAATTATGCAATCTTGTGTTTTGAAAAGCATCAGTATCTTCTTTGTTAAAGTACAGGATTTTCCCAATTACAAGAAGACGGTTTTGATACACCTCCACCTACTGGCCTCATTCACTCAAATTTCATTTATAATTTATTCACTGCTCCTCTTTAACAGCTTCCTTCAGATATGTTGTGTCTTTTTGACATTTCTGTTTTTTTTTTTTAAATTCGATTTTATATTCTGTGTACTATCTATGCATCCTCATCCTCTACTGTAAAAACACTAGGACTAAAAAGGTATCTTTATAGTTAAGTCTGTGGTGTATCAACTATCAGGCATAGGAGGTTAGACTCAAATTTTGGCTCTACTCCGAATAACAGTCCCAAATTATCTACGCAGAAAGTAAACCCTAACAGAACCTCATTACATCCAGCCCTACAAACATTTAAAAGTTCTAGCTCGGAAAAAATTAGGAAAGAAAAGTATGAGGAAAAGGGCGAAGTCTACTACTTACCGACAGTTAAATCCTTTATATGTGAAAATTGCGGCACAGAAGTTGCAAATAGTGCACTAATATCTGTTCTTCTGGCTGTCTGCCATTCCAACTCACCGGAATAAGATGGGAGCAGGACGCGGCTTGTCCGCGATTCTCGTTCCAGGCAAGACATAATCAGTAAATCGCGTTTTAATATACGCGTGTGTCGGCTCGGGGCAACTTCAAACCAGCATCTGCCACTATGGCGCTTCACTATCCCGACACCCCTTGACCGTGGCGAATGTGACCATGCTCCCAGTTACGACGGAAGAAGTAGCTCATGACTTTTTTCCGGCGACTATAGTGCCACCTCCGAGTGTATCCCGAGCAAATACAATGGAGGAAGCTGCAGGAAAAGCTGCTGCTCGTGAGTCCCAGCCATCTAGTTTAGCCCCGGGGGATACTCTCGGAGGTGGCACTATAGTCGGCAGTGAGTTTAATCAGAAGAACACTATCGCTAAACTGCGTCGGAGCGTGTGGTCTCCCCGCCATGTCGCTATAATCGTGTGTATTGTTGCGTTTCTCGAAATTGTCAACGGAGAGTAATTCTAGTTTTGCTGCGATGTGTTCGTCGGAGGAAGTCCGCATTTTACACATGACTGAAGCCCTGTTAGGGTGTTTATTTGGCCGCCATAATATGGGGACAAAGTTAGGAGGAGAGCCAGTTTAGTTTACTGTTGTAAAATGATGGATCATACACTAGCTTCCCAGGTAAGCCTCGTGAAGTATTCAAAGAAACCTCTCTGTTGTTGGCCCTACGTGATCTTATTTCTGTAATTATTGTTTGTTTATGTTGTAATAACCTTACATTAATTATCATGCTTATTTCATCATATTCCTGATTCTGTTTTATATATGCAGATATTTACCAACACAATGTCATCCGCACCAGAAATTGCAACAGAGGCAGTTTTGGTGAAGAGTGATCCAATGCCAGAGAGTTCAGAGATCGTGAGAGGGTATGATTTCAGTGAAGGGGTTGACTACCACAAACTGTTTGAATCGATGAGTCGGACTGGCTTTCAGGCAACAAGCCTTGGCCAAGCAATAACAGAAATTAATAGAATGGTAAGATCCCAATAAAGTTTAAAACTGTATGTCCACAATCAGACCTGTAAACCTTATCTATGAGGAGATTACCCGTAAGGTAATTGTTAAATGATATCCTTGTAATCAGGTTTATAACTTGTGTTTTAGTACTGAAATGCATTAACATGTATGTCTGCTGTGAAATTGTTTAATCTGTATGTATGCACACACACAAAAAAAAATTATCTGCATGATTGTGGCAGGTTGCATTAATCTATATATTTGATAAGATGCATTAAATGTATGAAATATGATTTCTTAATCTCTATGTATATGATAATATGATTTAATCAAGTAATTGCAATTTAAGCTTTATAGCAAATGGGTCACCCCATATTTGGTCCCTTCCTGTGCCGACGAAAACCACACAGTATGTTCATCATTGTCAGTTGTGAAAACATTGAATGCAGAGTGTGGTGAGTTAATGTGTATCTCTGTGGATAGATCCCTTAACATATCCACACAACAGATAGGATATTGTTATTGTCTTTGGTCATGTACCAAACACATTGGCACTGTTGCAGCAGAGTGGTTAGTGTACATGTTACCGACTACAGTGTTCTGAAATTCAGTTTCGAGTGTAGCAAGCCTTTTTTTAAAAAGGAAAAATAGGGCCGATGGCACTATTATTAATTATCAAATCTTTGTGCATCAACCATGTAAAGGCACAAAAGTCCAAAAACCTGTTTGCCTTAAACTACGATAACAAGTTACGACAGAGGGAAAACCGGACGGATCTTAGCAGTGATGACCTGGCATGACTTACGGATTACGATTTATGGAATGTGGAACATACAAGGCATTAATTGGTAGGAAAACGAGGCAATAGGGGAGATGAGGAAACCAAAATTAAAAACCTTGGCTCTGACTGAAATCAAGAAAAAGGGACAGGGAATCACAGATCCCGAAAGAAGTTTGCTGCTCTACAGTATTGTCCCTATGATGGAGAGAGCCAAAAGTATTGTGGCCAGGAATTATCATAGTAACATCAAGGGATCAAAACTTATCTTAGAGTGAATTATGGTGCTAGCTGTGAAAGAAGAAGATACAATTCTCTGTATTGCTATTGTGTACGGACCCAATGAAGATGAGTAAGTAGATGTTAAAGAAGAGTTCTTTGAATTGCTCCAAAGGACCATAGGTGATTATCACGATGAAATTATTCTCATCAGATCTCTAAATGCCAGAGTAGGAAATGATCACTCTAGATGAGGTGGAGTGAGATGGAGATATGGTCAAGATATTTAAAATGACAATGGTAGTGATTTTACAGGAAACAGAACCTCGTCATTACAAACACAGAATTCCCCCCCACAAACGTATAGATGCATACATAAGATGTGAACAGACCTTCAAAGAATGAGAAATCCATCATCAACTATGCCATAGTAAGGAAAAGTTCATTCAAGTTTGTGAGAGACGCCAGAGATTGGAAGTGACCACTATCTGGTCGCAATAAAGGGAACAACTAAAAGAAGTGATTCAACAAGGCAACATCGACAACAATTAAGGCTAGATACCAGGAGCTTATAGTGAAAGCAATAGGAACTGAAAAAGAACCATCAGAAAATACTGAAACCTTCTGGTGCAGATTCAAAAATACCCTCACAGCAGCTGCAATAGAAGCATATGATGAAGTCCCAAGTGGAGGAAAAGGACACCTTTGTGGATGGAAGAAGTCAAATTGAAAATAGAAAAAAGAAAAAGTTGGAATCTTACACAAGATAAAAAATCAAAAACTGTTCTTCGAGAACATAAGAAAGAGTGCCCACTGAAAATTGAAAAAAAGACAAGGAAGAAGCTCTGCTTACTACCACAAATGATATCATGGACAGATGAAAAAAAAAATACTTCTCAGAGCTCCTCTGTATTGAGGAAAGTCATGTCCCAGAAATAGCAGACCTCACTGCAGAGAAGGAAATCATCCGTAGGGATGATAACATCAGGATGAAAGAATTGAAAGCAGCTATTGAGAAGATTAAGCTGAGGAAATCAGCAGGACGTTATTATACCTATATTAAAAAAGGGTGATAACAAACAGTGTAAGAACCATAGAGGCATATCTCTCCTCAGTATTCCTGGTGAAAGTTACTCTAGATTTCTTGAGCAGAACTACAGCTAAATGAGGCCCAGTGCGGCTTCAGAAACAGCCAAAGAACTCAGGCCTTATCTTTACACTAAGACAGATAAGTGAAAAAGACCTTGAATATATGAGTGAGATGCACCTATATTTTTGGATCTAAAAAGGCATTTGAAAAGGTTCCCTGCTTGGCAGAGAAAAACATTCCAGCACCCTTGGTCAGTGCAGTTCAGAGTTTCTGCAAAAGCTGCAGAAATTATGTAAGAAGAGCAGACCAAAAGTCAGAAGAATTTAAAACCACTAGCAGTGTTAGACTTGGTGATATTCTCTCACCTGACCTCTCCATTCTTATGATGTCATTAAGACCTGTAAGGAGAAGACAAAGAAGTAGTCTGTAGGGTACTGGAAGCTGAAATCAATCTGTATATCAGAGCATTTGCAGGCAATGTGTCACTGATAGCTAAATCAGAGACACATTTTCAATCCAGCTTACGTATCAGGAAGAAAGAGCTTGAGAAGAGAGGGATGACCATCAGTATCTCCAAAAGTAAAGCCAAGTTGATCTTAAGAAAGGAGAAGAAACATCAGATCATTCTGGGACAGTGTGCATTGGAGCAAATCAACCAGTTCAAATACCTTGGACTTGTAATAGACCAAAATGGAGGCATTAAGACAGGCTGGTTACTTGAAAAAGCATCTGCTGTGAGACTTTTTCAGGCCATAAACTGAGGGTTTCTTAGCAAAAGAGAAATTGGCAAGAGGATGAAAATGGCTGTTTACCACTCTGCCTATATGCCAGTCCTGACCTATGTGTGAGTCATGGGTAATGACATCATCTCACAGAAGCCAGCTTCAGGAATCAGAATTGAGATATCTGAGAAAGGTGGTCCAAATGACAAGAAGGGATACAGTTTGCAGTCAGACAATATGTCAAGATTTTGAAACCCGGGTCTTACCCGGGTCTTAGATCAGTCCCAGTTATGATGGTGTGGGCATGTATGCAGAATTAGAGAACATTGGCCACCATGGGAGGCTAAGAACCAGACCTCCAGGGTGACCCAGGGCCTGCTGGGAAGACAACATCTGACAGTACCTGGCTTACAGAGGACTGGAATGGAACAAAGCCAGAAAGAAAACTGCTGGTAGAGAAGTCTGGCGATCTCTCTGATAAACCTCTATACCCCAGGGTAGAAGAGGAGCGACTGAATAAGTAAGTACATTTTTGTGAAAAAAATAGTCAGTTTTTCTCCCAAACCTGTGACATAGTACATGTGAAAATTGTGTATATTCTGAATGTGGATGTATGTATGTATATTCTGTGATAGTATATGTTAAAGTCTTTGCATGCCTGCAGCAGTGTCTGCCATTCTGTTATACGAACTTTTTATAATCATTTAACTATTATCACTTGTATTGACATAGCTTTGTGTTGATTGTTACAGATTGACTGCAAATTTCAGTCCATCCCAGAGGAGCAAAGAACAGAAATTAATCTGAACCCATGTGGTAGAGAGCCAAGCAATTGCACTATCTTCCTCAGTTACACATCCAATTTGATGTCAGCTGGCACTCGTGAAGCAATTCGCTACTTAGTCCAACATAATATGGTAGGTACAAAATGAGTTAATTACTTTCCGTATGCTATTTGACATAGTTTGTAAGTCCCATATAGTATGTGCTGTACTTCTTTGGTCTGTACTATACATTGTTTATGCATGTATGTTTGGGAATGTTTGTTGATTTCCGGTCTAACGTGGAGGACTAGGCATGGTAGATTGTTTAACTTGAAGTTATTTTTGCTTCTAACAGGGCTTTGCTTATGCAGTTTCCACATATGGGCAGTAGTTTATGGTTTTGCTGCCTGAGCTACTTAGTTAAGTGTTTGGTGCAGCCCTGTGAGCTGTATTTTTCATAGAATACCTTTTATTGTGCAGTGGTTGAGTCATGATTTTCAATACGGCCTATAGCCGGTTTATGCATGGGTTGGTAAAATACTGTATGTAATAATTCTATGTGTGTATAGCCACTTATCACATCCGCCTACTTCCATGAGCGACAAACTGCATTTCTGGTGGCAGCTTTTGTGCCGCTGGCAACTGCCATATTCATTTCACTGCCTGCGCATATTTCTGGATTGTGCCGGGATTATTCCTTTGTTCGCCAGTTTTTCAAATAGAGCAGTGAGAGACATTTCATTTGATTTTCACTGGCACAGGAATGGAGCAAGTATAGGGTGACCGGATTGCAGTGAAGTTGGAACCTCCATATCGATGACAATGTATGAGGCAGCGATGTCAGTTGTCAGTTATTAAATAAATTCTCTCTGTGGTGATACTTACTAAGTCATGTCTACTTGTCAGTGGGAAGATTCACCATTAATGTAATTCAACATACTTAAATTCAGTCGTTCCAAAGGATTCACAAGCGACACAGTCTTTCCTTATAAGCAGATTTCCTGATCCACATAGATGGGTCCAGTGTAGGACAACTCAGTAGTTTATGGGCATTCACAGCATGCTATGCAGGCAGAACAGTCCTGTAGGTCTGTGGTGCCATTTCTGTGATTACCAGCAGATGGGATGGAAGTGTTGGTGGTGACACTAATCTTTTATGTCACTGGAATTACAGGGTTATTTCCATGTGTATGTACTGAATGGTTTTATAAGCATGATCCTGCAGGTCGAGACACGCTTCAAACACTGGTAGTTCCCGTGTGAGTTCCAGGGTCCTCATTGTGGGGAAAACCAGAATAGACCCAGTGCCTTTTCAACAAGCATTTCATAAGAGTCGACTAATTGTGGGCTTCCTTCAGAGTTGGAGTGCATCTGCCCAAGTGGCAAGGAACAGCCAACTGCACACAAAAAAAGCCAGTAAAACGGATGTACACTCAAAACCCTGGCACAAAGCTAAAGTCCAAATGAACGAACAAACAGGACTTTCCTCCGGAGCTTACAGCCGGTGAACAAAGAAGAAGAAGAAGAAACACTGGCAGTGGATTGTGTCATTGCAGAGGTCCACTGTGCATGAAGTTACCTTAATCTTTGTCCTGGGGCATGCAGTCTTGTTGGCAATGAAAGAGCTGATAGCTGGCTCCCTCATAGTTGCAGATGGCTTGTTTATGGTTTGCAGCAGCGTTATTAATGCACTGCTTTGAGAGTAAAAATTTACCCAGCTGATCATGAGAGCCATACAATGTGTATGAGAAGTCTAGTTAATGAGGACATCTGCTGGCACACATCACTGCATGTTGAGAAGTAAATGGTTAAAAGTGTGGGACTGGCACTATTAGCCACAAAACGTATGAGAAGTCTAGTTAATGAGTGTATGACTGGCACTATTAGCCACAGAACATGTATGAGAAGTCTGGTTAACGAGTGTGGGACTGGCACTATTAGCCACAAAACGTATGAGAAGTCTAGTTAACGAGTGTGGGACTGGCACTATTAGCCACAGAACATGTATAAGAAGTCTAGTTAACGAGTGTGGGACTGGCACTATTAGCCACAAAACATGTATGAGAAGTCTAGTTAACGAGTGTGGGACTGGCACTATTAGCCACAAAACATGTATGAGAAGTCTGGTTAACGAGTGTGGGACTGGCACTATTAGCTACAGCAGGACATGTATGAGAAGTCTGGTTAACGAGTGTGGGACTGGCACTATTAGCCACAGAACATGTATGAGAAGTCTGGTTAACGAATGTGGGACAGGCACTATTAGCCACAGAACATGTATTAGAAGTCTGGTTAACGAATGTGGGACAGGCACTATTAGCCACAGAACATGTATGAGAAGTCTGGTTAACGAGTGTGGGACTGGCACTATTAGCCACAGAACATGTATGAGAAGTCTGGTTAATGAGTGTGGGACTGGCACTATTAGCCACAGAACATGTATGAGAAGTCTGGTTAACGAGTGTGTGACTGTCACTGTTAGCCACAAAACATATATGAGAAGTCTGGTTAACGAGTGTGTGACTGGCACTATTAGCCACAGAACATGTATATGTTGAGGGATCTGAGCAGCTGTGAGTGTGTCCAGAATGGTGTGAGGATAATAAGACAGCTCATACCTTATAACTCCTGATGTGTGAGCAATGAACCACATGCATCATCATTCACTGACATCCGCATGAGTTGACTTAAGTCAAGAATTGACTTCACAGCACTCGGGGCATTCCCATGCATGCTCCATCTTAATCATTAGCAGCCAGCGCAGAGTTCCAATACTGATGGTACCTGTCACAAAATGTTTATATGTCCGTCTTGCCTATTCTGAGTGTAGTGGGCCAGCCAGATCCTCTTGTTACACCCAGTTGCCTCATTCTCTCCTGGCCATAATCTTCTATCTCTATTGATTCTGTTTCCAAAGGGCCTTGACCACATCTGCCTTGTCATGTATCAAGTCACCACCCAGTGGTGCAGATCCAGGCAATCTGTCTGTCTGTTCATTACCCACTATGCCGGCATGGCCTGTAGAAAAGATCCAAAGAAAGCTCACTACCCGTGACCTTTCCAGTGAAGCTTGCCACTCTGCTCGAAGCATCCCTGTCTTCGCCTTTCTCAGCATGCCTTCAAAGTCTGTAAGAGTCTCTGCATGAACTCACAGACTTCTTCTTCTTCTTGTTCACCGGCTGTGAATTCCGGCGGTAAGTCACGGTTGTTCGTCCAAAATGGACTTTTGGCTTTTACCTTGACCTGAGTTTTGCGTGTACATCCGTTTTACTGGCTTATTTGTTTGCAGTACTCGTTCCCCGCCTCTCCGGCAGATGTACTCCGACTTCGGAGGAAGACGTCAAGCCTATTTCTAGGTTGACTGTGGCCATTGTTTTGTGTGGGTCGAGATGTTGCCTTATTTGTGTGGTGTCCTCTTTGACTTTTAACAGGTGTGGCCCCAGGCATGTTGTCCTTAAGGCAGCTCTATGTAGAGTTTTCAGCCCTCAAGGGAAGGCAGGGGCAGATCATGGGCATTCCCCGCCATCCAAGGAGGCTTCCATAAATGCAGAGCCGACACATGATGCTCTGGTTCTGGGCTCACCCAAGGAATCGTCACGTCCTGCCCACGACTGCTTAACCTCACAACCGTGTATTGAGCTTCCCGCGCTACAAGGCTGCGCTCTCCGGAGATCAGCGGGGAGCAGCCCGCAGGTCTAGGACGTTTGTGGCCACACAAATAGGTACATTCTTTTTCATCTTACGTTAGACACCTTTAACGTTGTTTCAGCTGTGCCCTTAGCACGACAGAATGGGGAAGCAAAATGCGTCAGGCGTGGCTTCACCTGTTTGGTCCCAACCACTCGGGCGAGTTGGACCAGTGGATACGGACATTCAGACTTTTCCTAATCGGTACGAGTTATGATCGTCGGACTTTGAGCTTGCATGTGTGCCGTGGGGTGTAACTTTGTCGGACATTGTTTTCAAGCCAGCATATGAATAGTTGCTGCCATGGTGTACCTCAGCGCGGTGACTACGACACTGAGGATTGACAGAGGATGTACGTAGGTGGGATCTTGCTGCGAGAAGTCGCCCACAAGAGATGTTACTCGTCTTGGCTGCGGGTAAATCTCTCGGTCAGGGTTGAGTCTCAGCAGCACAGTTTTCCATTCGCTCCCGAATTTTAACCAAGAGTTGTCATTTGATGGTACATTTAGCAAGCAGTCCTTGAGTTTTGTTACTTTTCACCCATGCGTTTGGGGGCGGGCTGGTGAGAGCCAGAAAGGACTCTACACCTCTAGGGGCCGCCAGCTCCGAGATCCCCTGCCAACTCTGTTAATGCTCATTTGAGACATTATCCGTGGCGCACGACGGGGACGTGCAACAGGAGTCTTGCATGAGGTTCCGTAAAACCAGAACAGTGAAGGACTGGCGCCCGAGTGGGGTACGGAATATCTCCTTATACACATCACATCAGACTTAACTTCCCCTCATGCCTGTGACTGAAATCACCGCGCCACGAACTCACAGACAATAACCACTTGCTATATTTTCAAGAACTTTCTTCTCTTGACAGATTTTCACTGTCCATTAATGTTTGTAATGATTATAAATAAATTCCTTGAGAAGAATTGTCACCGTTTTATAAAATGTGTGTTCTCAATTTAAAACACTTAAAAAATGTCAGTGTCAGTATATTTTTATGTTCTAATACAAATAGTGCATTATTCATACATGCAACTGTGAGAAATATCTGCTGTTTGCAGGTTGATTGCCTTGTCTCAACTGCTGGCGGAATTGAGGAAGATTTTATCAAGTGTCTAGCTCCCACTTTTGTGGGAGACTTTGCTCTGTCAGGGCGGGAGCTACGAAAGAAAGGAATAAACAGAATTGGAAATTTGCTTGTACCCAACTCCAATTATTGCCTGTTTGAGGACTGGGTGCTACCAATCCTAGACAGCATGGTTGATGAACAGAAGGAGGTGGGAATTAATGTGTGTCTTGTGTAGGGAATTAATCATTAATGATACCAGTGTAACATTTAATCAAATTTAGGGAAAAGCAGAGATGTATGCCTGAAGCAGAGAGGTTGAATTAAGAACTGACATACCACAGCGTCTGTGGCTTGGGTGTTGCAAACGAGCTTCGTAATGCCGGGGTGCTGGATTCAATCCCAGCCGCGGCACTTGCGCCTTGCGATGGTTTCCACAGTGGTATCGAGAAGTCAACCACCTAGAAAGCAGTGACAAACTGCTGGAGGTAAATTTACCTAGTAAAACCAGAACAGCCAAAAAATGCCAAGGTTGATTCTGCAGCGTCCTATAAAGGATACACAACTAACTTTATTACAGCACTCAGTACATTTCCTTAAGCACTCCATCCCTATCTTCAGCAAGCGTGGAGTTCCAGTTTTGATCGTACCTGTAACAATCTGATTGTTTGTTGGTCTCACCTGTCCCTTGAGTGTTGAGTATTGGTCACTCCTCGCAGCACTGTCCTCCTCAGAACATAAGGATCTATTTGTTTGAGACAGATGTGCAAGCTGATACCTAGTTTGTCCTAAATGTGTCATAGGCAAGCAATCCTGACCTAGAGAAAAACAAGCAGTGCAATATTTTATTGACAAAGAGACAATGTATTGACTGGCACTCATAGAAAGAAGTGGAAAGATAGAAGGACACACTAGACAGCATAAAAATCTAAAGCTATAAACGGTAACTTCTTTTTTTGTTTGTTCGCATGAAATAAATTATCTATATCTGCAATGCTATCTCTAGTATGAATTTCACTGTCTTTTGTAATTCACTAAGTGGCCCGTAAAGTTTGACTACCACAAATGTCTCTTTTGGCCAAAGGTGTTGCCTGGAAGCGTTGAATCTGGGACAGTCTTGAAGGATGTGATCTGTTGTTTCAGGTGCCAGTCCACAGGTACACATGGCGGATTGGCCAATCTTAAATTTGTTGTACATCTGGCAGCGAAGTCGGTTGTGCCCTGTTCTAAGGGGAAGGATAATGACTTGCTCTGGTCTGTCCATAATATGGTAATCGTCTTGTGCCAGTTTCAGTGGCATTCTGATTGATTTGATCATTCTCTTCTTCTGTTGATAAGAGACTGGTATGTCGGGTTGTTCTTCAGTTAACTGTAACTATAGCTTTCGATTTTTATGTTGTCTAGTGTGTCCTTTTATCTTTCTACTTCTTTTTTATGAGTGCCAGTCAGTACATTGTCTCTTTGTTAATTATGTATCTATAACATTTATACGACTTCAAGGGTTCCCCCCTCTGTTTATTTATGTAAATACTTTATTGATTATTGAATATAAATAGACAGAAAGTTTATACAAGATATAGATAAATTATTTCAAGCAAATGGAAAAAGGGGTAAAATATAAATAAATGTGTTGCACCCTGTATAATGTGGCAAGGAGATAAATACCTGGATGGCTTAGCCATATGGACGGGGCAAGGCAAGAACACTGATCTGATCTGTGATTCTGGTGATCGTGTGGGATGGTGAAACATGACAGCCTATGCTTACTGGCTTGGCACATCATGATGATAATAATGTGGCAAGAGAAGCAAACCTGCATTGGAGGAAGAATTGGAAGCTCTTAAAGGGCCTCATAATAGATACGGTACTAGCAGCATACATTGAATTCTGTAATGTAAATGGTTTGCTTGACATTATGTGCAGTTTGTGTTCATTGATGATTGTATGCAGTTTGTGTTAACTGATGATTGAATACAGTTTGTGTTAACTGATGATTGAATACAGTTTGTGTTAACTGATGATTGAATACAGTTTGTGTTAACTGATGATTGAATACAGTTTGTGTTAACTGATGATTGAATACAGTTTGTGTTAACTGATGATTGAATACAGTTTGTGTTAACTGATGATTGAATACAGTTTGTGTTAACTGATGATTGAATACAGTTTGTGTTCATTGATGATTGTATGCAGTTTGTGTTAACTGATGATTGAATACAGTTTGTGTTAACTGATGATTGAATACAGTTTGTGTTAACTGATGATTGAATACAGTTTGTGTTAACTGATGATTGAATACAGTTTGTGTTAACTGATGATTGAATACAGTTTGTGTTAACTGATGATTGAATACAGTTTGTGTTAACTGATGATTGAATACAGTTTGTGTTAACTGATGATTGAATACAGTTTGTGTTAACTGATGATTGAATACAGTTTGTGTTAACTGATGATTGAATACAGTTTGTGTTAACTAATGATGATGGGAAAGAGATTGACAATCCAAATTCTGTCTACTACTGGGCATATAAGGTAATTTTTTACACTTATGCATGTAAGGTCAGTTATAGTGCTGGGTGCTCAGAATATTATATACTACTGTAAGAGCCCTGGACCCCCATTTGGTAGATGGATGTTTGGATCTTTGGTAAGGATTTGGATTTTTCTTGGGCCAAAAATAAAATCTAAACTTGCACAGTTGTGATGATTGCACAAGCCATGCAACCTCAAAGCCTCACGTTCCGAACCAGTGACAGCTTGTGCATAGGCACTGTGGAACTGCTGCGCCCTCTATTTTTTTTTTACTCTATAGCAGTGTTTCCCAAATTTTTCTTAGTCGGGGCACATTTTTTTTTTATTAAATTGTTTTCACAGCGCCCTAACCTAAGTAAAGGTGTGACTATTTGTATGTAAGAGATAGAAAAAGAAAAAAACAAGTGTATCTTCGAATATTTTGCGGCACCACTGTGAAGAGGTAGCGGGTCCCTGGGGCGCCACAGTGCACAGTTTGGGAATCACTGCTCCATAGTGATGAAAAATTAGTTGTATATCCTTCACAGGATGTCACAGAAACAACCCAAGAATTGTTTGGGTTGTTTTTGATTTTACTAGGGAATTTTATGTTATGTAGTTTGCCATTGCTTTCTGAATGGTCAGTTCTCAATAACATTATCAAAACCTTTGCAGTGCGGTCTGCTGCCAAATCATCTGCAACTAGGATAAAACCCAGCACCTTGGAATTAAAAAACGTGTTCACAACACCTAAGCCACAGACAAGGACTATATTATTGATAGCTTTCTAAGTAATGAGTCTGTTTTGTTCAATTTTGTTAATACTGTGTACATTATATGTATAATCCTTCAGATACAAAGCTTACAGAATGGCTCAACTAAATTACCTCATAATTTTCCACTTCATCCTGAGCACTTAGGTTTTTTAAAAATAGTCTTTTGTCATCGTTAGCCGTGGTGTGAGGGGTACTGTGAGTCTACATTTAATCTGTCCATTTTTCTATGCAAAAGTGTATGTATACCATGTTTTATTGTTTAGTCTGTTCTCTTGAGTGTGGCATACAGAGGCATTGATTGATACTGTTGCTTAACACAGACCATTGCTTATCTTCTCCTCCCCATGAGAGATTGAAGGTATACACTAATTTAGCTTTTTTTTTTTAATATCCAGAAACCATGAGTTCTTAACCCTTTGGCTCGGTGGTATGGATATCGCAACCCTTCAGCCTTGATTCCATGATAAATACCGTAAATCTGGGAAAAATGTGGCTTTTCTGCCTACCCCCTGGGCGTCGACCAGGACCAGGAGTAGTTCGTCACCCGGTCGTCACGAAGTCAGGTTTAGCCATAGCCAACTACGCTAGCGAGCCTGGACTAGTTTAGCTAAAAGGGTTAGGGATCTGATGTGATGAAGTTGGTAGGCATCAGTGCTCAAAACTTGCACACATTGCTGGGTAGAAACTCACAAGCATCTTGCAGCAGGTAATCTATCAGGATGGAATTAGCTCACCACTAGACCCAGATTCTTCAAGTTGTATAGTAGAGAACATATGAGTTTCCAACAACTGTAAGTTAGGGAAGTATCTTATGCTCATGTATTTACTTGTGCACAATCAAAGGCTTGAATTTGCAATCCCTGTGTGGGTTCTGGGGTCCCATTGTGGGGGGAAACAGGAATAATCCTACTGCCTCCCCGACAAGCATGTCATAAGATTGCAGGTTACCTTTGAAGTTGGAGTGCTTCTGCTTGAAAGCCAAGGGCCCAATAATCTGCATACAAATAAGCCAAATCTGTCAAATGGATGTGCATGCAAAACTCATATACTGGAACAGAGCTAAAGTCTAGAGGTGGATGAACAGCCAGAATTTTCCGTCAGAGTTTTAAAGCCAGTGAACAAGAAGCAGAAAAAGAAGAAAAGAATTTGTCAAACCAAGGATTCAGCTGTGTTTCATGGGAGATTATTCTTATGACTGTAAAGGTAGTTATGTTTTTCATTGTTCTGCCATGCAGGCTTGATGCATATTTATAAATTAAGACATGGAAGATTAAGATAGATATAAAAGTATTAGAAAATACTGAGAGAAACGGAGATGCCGGCAGAAAATGACAGAATATACGGATATAAATTCAAGCTGGATGTGATTAGAGCGTGCCTGTCCATAGATGTGAGGTTCAGCACCTCACTGATTTATGAAATGGGGAATGGGGAGCAAAGCTCTACAACAGAGTCCTTATTGCGTTGAGATGGTGCTTGAAAACAAGATCAGAAGGAAAGCCTTTACATGAAAATTTTATCTGATAGAAAAAGCAGACTTTGTTTTGGGCTCAAATTAAAAGTAAGTCTTCCTGACCAGTCACTTAACCAGATTAAAATATTTCAGAATAACATTCCAGTATTTTGTCCAGCCTTGACAGATGGATCTCTGGGTGACATGATCTACTTTCACTCATACCAGAAACCAGGACTAGTTATTGACATAGTTCAAGGTATGCATGCCATGTTTGTTGCTTCTGTTAAGGCATATTTTCTCTTCCTACTATTCTTGCTGTCTTTAGTGCTTGTAACGAATTCGGGGCCCAGAAATAGAGTGATTTTTCATGTCTGTTCATGACACAGGGCTTGTCCTATGTAGCGGGTGTGTCACGCTAAGTGACCCGCCAGCAACATGACATATTTTACTCGTTGTTGCCAGCGGCTGGCGATATCGGATCTTCTATATTCCAAGATGTGAGCACTTTTAATGGTCCCAAAACATGCAGAACTGGCCCTAACACACACCCCCCCCCCTCATCCTTTGTCCACCGACTGCATGCAGCTTATGACAGCAACACGTAAAATACGTCATGTTGCTGGATGCGATGAAGGTGGTCTTTAAATGAACAAGGAACTTCATAGTTTAGAAAACAAAGCACAAGAACGTATCCTTTTTAACTGATATACACAGATCATATTGTCCCTTGTTGCACTTTACATCTCACCACTGAAGTCTAAAATAAACTACATGATCATTTTGTTTACATAATGCAGGGTGTATCATCCCAGATCTGTCGTCATAATTTAAATTCACCACAGGAAAACAATGTTTTGAGTTCTCATAGTTTTGTTGTCTGCAGATATTCGGCTAATAAACACCCAAGCTGTGCATGCCGTCAACACAGGGATGATTATACTGGGAGGAGGACTTATCAAACATCACACATGTAATGCTAATCTGATGGTAAGTGAGATTTTTAACTTTGAAAGGTTTGTCCATGCATTTCAGAAGAAATATACCTTCATTTTACAAGATCTGGATTCATTTGGGTAAATATTAGATATCACAGCATTCAGGTCAAGCCCATATTAGCTTCATCTCCCTCCTTTGAGGTCAGCTAAAACTCTATATTAATGGTACCCATTGCCATCTGGATAACTTTGCATCTTTCCTTTTCTCCTGAGTCTCAAGTGGCACCAGAGCCTGCAGACACCCACAGTTGTATCATTCTCTCCATGTACAAGACCACCAAAGAAAATCAGTTCAAATGCAGCATCATAATTAAAAAACTTAAACATTGTGGCGACATAAAATTACAAATAATATGGCTTAGAAAGAAGGGTAATTTTTTTTCTTCTTCTTCTGCGTTCGATATCAGTCATGCTAAACATTGAGTCCCGTTTGGGTCACAAATAGGACTCGCCACCGGTCCCCCATAGCTTCTCTTATGTGGCTCCAGGGGTCTGTCTTTCTGCTCCTGCAGTATGTGCTCAGGGGTCTGTCGTTCTGCTCCACAATCACAGGCAGCAGATTCTTTTATGCCTATCCTGTACAGATGTGCTCGAAGACCACAGTGTCCTGTCCAAAGTCTAAAAATTGATGTTTGTTCTTTCCTGTTGAGTTTGTTTATGCTGTCACTCTCTGGTCTGTAATCTCCATTCTGCCTTCTCCACTCCCGCTTGAAAGACTGCTTTAGCACTGTTTTGGTTTCCTTATAGCTGTGTGGTGGATGAGGTTGTGGAAGATTACTCCCAGCTTTTGCCAACTCATCTGCTCTCTCTTTTCCTTGAATACCACAGTGGGCTGGTATCCACTGCAAGACCAGTTCTGCTTCCTTGGAGAGTAAGCCAATATTGGTCCTTAGATCAGCAATTAGTTTGTCTTGTTTTTTTGCTGTATAATGCTTGGAGAACAGACAATGAGTCACTAAGTATAACAATTTTGTGCCCTCTGTGTTCTTGAGTGATGAGATGTTGGACTGCAGAGAGGAGGGAAGTTGCCTCAGCTCTGAAGTTAGTGCAGATGTCACCTGCTGGTAGAGAGAGAGAGTTTCTGCTCTACTCCTAGGGGGTTTAATGTTTATTCCACAACTCCCCTTTCTGACTGCATCTGTAGCAGAGCCGTCGGTAAAAACCTGAGTCAAAGTGGTGTTTGGATACTTCTCATCAAGCACAGCAAGAGCCAGGATTCTCTGTTGTGTCTCCGTCTGGGCATCTTTTGAAGTAATCCCTGGTACCTTTAGGACTACATTTGCCTTCTCTGGCTTGCTTGTCCATGGTTCTGGCCTAAGTTTTTAGCACAGTGCAACATCTCTTTCAAGCAGTTCTTGGTGCTGTCTGTACAGTTCTCTAGCAAGGTGGTTGGGGCTCTGACGCTTCAGTCTGTTTTTTGTTCTCTCTTGAAATTTAAAATGCAGTGGGTGACTTTGAAGTCTTTTTAATTTCTCATACTGCAAAAGAGTTTTGTATTGTCTTCTGAGTTCGAGTGGTTCAGTATCTGCTATCTTTTCTATTTCTCTGATGGAGGTGGTTTTCATGGCTCCGAGAACAATCCTTAATCCCATATTTTGAACCTTGTCCAGTTTTCCCATTGTTGGGAGAAGGGTAGTGGAAGGTATAGTCCTGTAGCAGAAACAGTTGTTGATCAACATGAAGATTGGACAGGATATTCAAGACAACCTGACATAAACAGTTGTAATGCAGTGAAAGGTAATGAAAGATTGAGTACTTCCAAAGAGTTATCTTGAATTTGACATACTTTAAAGCAGTGTTCTTTAACCTGTGGGCCGCTAAAACTTACTGCCTAATCATGTAACAGAGTAGGGTCGGTGATTTTTCTCTTCCAGGATTTCAGTCTGTGGGATTAACACATCAAGTATAAAAAATAAAACAGGTAGAAATCCCGGGAACCCCGCTCAATCGCATATTTTTTCTCACTATGGGTAGCTGATAATAACATTTTTTACATCTAATTTAAAAAAAATATTGTTATCTACATTTGTTTTTGTTTCTGTGTTTGGTTAGCTGCCAGGTTGTCAGCGAAACAGGTATCTCTGTTTTGGTGGGCCACGGGTGTAAAAAGGTTGAGGAATACTGCTTTATAGAACCTGCTATGTGATAATGGTATTTATATACATCTTTTTTTATTTATTGCCCGAAGTGACGACATATTTTTTTTTTTCAAATCATGTAACGTTCTGTCACACTGTTTCACGCAATCTGTTTGCCAGGGTTTTCAGTTGCTCTTTTTATGCTTTCAGAGAAATGGGGCTGACTTCTCAGTGTTTGTGAATACAGCCAGTGAGTTCGATGGAAGTGACTCTGGGGCTCGTCCAGATGAAGCTATTTCTTGGGGGAAAATCAAACTTACAGCAAAACCTGTCAAGGTTAGTATTTTAAACATCTTTTTCCTGCTGAAAATTTAGATTGTAATATGCTCGTCTAGGGGCATGTGGTTATATACATTGCTTTCAGACGAACAGTGAGTTGTAACGACACAGCATGAACGAATATTGAGTTGAGCGCTTTTATTCGTTGAATCGCCAATTCCCGCAAACATACATTCTCGCGTCCTCGTGCTCGTCTTGCTTGGCTGAATCTAGCGACCTGGTCGGACTTCTCACACACTACAGGAATTCATCAGCGTCTCTCGGACCATCCATCTATCCTTTACGAACCCTGGTACCTGACATTACGACGTGTGGAAAAAACATTAAGTCCTCCTATTGAAATATAACATTCGTTTCACAAATCATTTATTCTTCTCAAGCGTCCACTCATGCGTTCTCTCTCAGTCAGGGCCGAACTTCCACTGACTTACTTCAGTCTCTCGGTTCACGTCTTCCGTTCACATCTCATGCTTTTCTTGGGTCCCTCACTTCGTTCACCATGAGATACACGAGACCACTTATCCCGTTTTTCTCTTCTCTCACGGGTCCTCCGACCTCTTCCTCCTCATCGGGAACTCTCTGGGATTTCCCCGGGAATTCACAACATTACATAGATGTTTGAAATTAGTGTCATTAAATTGCACCACATGTAAGCTATAGCATTTTAGGTAGGTTTCCTAGCTTGTATCCACGGAAGTATTTTTCTTTGATCTGCTACAAAATGAATGAGTTTCTTTCAGGTATATGATGCTGTACTCATATTTGTATAGTTCATTAAGTACTCAGTGTCTGATGTAGTAAGCATCATGCTGAGTCAAATGATGGACTGCCCACAATAGTCATAGAACTAGCCAGATTATCTGTATTTTTTAAATTAATTCCTTTTTATCTCAACCTGACCTGGGACAAAAACAGCCAGATTCCTTAACATTGATTTATGTATTGATGCAAACCAGTTCCAACTCATGTATCCTTATCATAAGCTTTATGTTAATAGTTCATTATATATATTTAAAAAAAGATTGAAATTTTTCCATTATTTCAGGTTTATGGTGATGCAACTATAATGTTCCCAATTCTGTTGGCCGAAACATTTGCCAGACGAGAAGCGGAATTCAAGGATTACTTTATGAAAGATAAATAACTAGACATTAACATTTAGGGTGACTTTCATCATGACTGCATAAATTAGAACAATAAGGCACCAAGGGTGAATCATTGGAATATGCCAACTGTTTAATTTCTTAGAGATGATGCTGGAATGCTGGAAACGATGGAATCAAGAGAGGGATATCATCAAGAGAGCTGTTGCAGGCAACCAGGGATCGTGATCTGTGGAGATGCATTGTCAGTTGCCAGTTGGCAGGGCACATGATGATGATAACTTCTTGGAGATTGAAAATTGTCACAGATCTTATGACCATGGTCAGCGGACCAGGATCTTATAGTGGTTCTGTGTTTAAATACTAGTTGGCACTCAGTGTGTGATGTGATGGAAATAACGCTGTTTGATGTGGAAATAACCCTGTGTGATGAGATGGAAATAACGCTGTGCACCTTTATATACAAAAATAGTGCCAATTGTAGGCGGTGTTATTGACCTTGGATCCAAGGTTAGTGGATGCAGACTCAAACCCATGACAGTCAGGTTGATAGGCATGGGTGCTGGTTATTTGTTTTATTATTATTTGAGGAGAAAAAGTGGGAGTGAATGAGACTGGCCACGCCATATGATTATGCTTTAGTCTAGAAAATAGGATACATGTCTACGTAGAATTAATAAATTTTCTGGCCAGATACAATCTCAAACACTAAACTACTTCAAGTCACAAACCAAGAAACTTCAGACAGTATGATAACCAAGAGAAGATGGAAATGGCTTGACAACGTTATGAAACTGAATCCTGATACACCTGCCAAAACAACTCTCACATGAATATCAGAGGAAAAGAGAAGAAAGGGGCGCTCAAAAACAACATGGAGACGAACGATGGAAAGTGACCTGAGTGTGGCATCTTTGACATGGAAAACTGCACTGAAGATTGCACAGGACAGGAAAGCATGGAGAGTCCTCTCTGAAGCCTCATGTGCCACCAGGCATAACGAGAACTGATGATGATCTGGCAGGAGATCAAGTTTAATTGGATACATTAATACAAATCACATGCAGTTTTTTTTTCCTGTTTAATATTAGTCTTGAAATAAGAAGTCCAGACTGTACACCGTGTATTGACAATCTGGGCTAGACCTCAACAAAGCCAGACACTAACATGACATTATATATAAATAATATATATATTTTTTTTCCTTGAGAGGCATTCAGAGAGTTGATGACAACAGTTGTCCATGAGTTAACATACAACTGGAAGGATGTTAAATTATATTAAAGGCTCTCGGGCCTTCCTTGAATATCGAGGATGTCATGTTGATGTTTGCACAACGGATCAACCTCATGGCACAAGAGTGGTAACCCATAAGTGCTCCGTTTTACTTCTAACTCAAGCCTGATTTCAAAGAATCTCAGTGCTGTGCACGAACTCTGTAGTGCCGGCGAGGACCCTGGAATAATTTTGGTATATTTTTAATTCCAAATTTTGCCCGGGCTGCGCCGTTAGTCTACTCTTTCTGTTTTTCGACTGCCAAGGGATTTTTTTTACGTGCACAACAATACACACGGGCATCCAATCTCACTACCCAGATACCAGGGGAAATTACTAGAAGTCCACGTGAACAGAAAAAATCCCAGCCTTTACCAGGGCTTGAACCTGTGACCTCTAGCACTCAAGCACTCCAGACCATGCAGCCCCACCCCCCAAGAATGTAAAATAAAATGTAAAAGTTGAAAAAGATAAATAAGAAACACGTTGCATAATGGTATACCCTGCATACGATGAAGACATCCGGTAATAAATAACAAAGAGTAGCTATTGACTGGATAAATAAAAACAATGATATCCCCCAATGTATGACACCATACCATTCCGGCTGACATCGGTGGCCCTAAATATAACCTTCAGGTTGAACAGGGTTTTTGTGATTCATGCCCCTGTGATTCTCGTCCCAATGGAAGCACTATGTGTTACCGGGCGTTTGTTGCTCGTTGAGTGGTCCTGGTGGGGTTGATAAATAAATAAATAAATACAATTAAAAAACATTGCAAGGGACATAATTTAGATTGTTGTTACTAAGGGAAGTAATGTAAATTCCTGGGTTTTTTCGCATTACTTTTTAAAATAATTTCTTCCTCACTTTCTTTGTTTAAATTAGCTTTTGTAGATACATGTTTAGTATTTTACAACATTAAATGGTCTGCAAAATTTGAAATAGTTTTAAAATGCTTTTTGTAGATTTTAATAAGCAGTTTGTTTACTGTATAATTTGATAGGCAGTTATTCTTCCATTATCTTTTTAACGTCTGACTTACATGTAATTCCTGGCTCTTATATATTCCTTAAATCCTTCTTAGGACATAATTTTTTGTTATTTGAAGCCCCACTCTGGCTTTTGCCAGGGGCTGCAATATAGGCAGGCCATAAATATGGCCAAATGTCTGAATGCGGTTTCTGGGACCTCTCCAAGGCGATCCTCATCTGCATGGTGGAACTTTGTGTCATCGGGTGTTTATCGCTTGTGTGATGTCCTAGTGGGGTAGAAAGTCAGTCAGTCAGCCTGGCTCTAACAGATCAGTTATCTTTGTCTCTGTTCCGCAGAGTGATCATTTTTTGACAGGCCAGTAATAGCCGGCCAATAATAATGCTGTAATAATTAGGGCTGTACCAAATGAGTACTTTACGACTTCAGAAGCGCCTTGCTCAAATGTGGAAAAAATAAAATCTGGCTGGATCCAAATGAAGCCAATGAGATTGCAAATGCAAATTCCCGTCAGAACATCAGAAAGTTGGTGAAAGGTGGTCTTATCATTCGCAAACCTGTCAAGATTCACTCTCGTGCATGAGTCTGAAAAAAACCTGAGGCTCGCCGCAAGGGAAGACACATGGGGCATGGCAAGAGGAAGGGTACTGCCAATGCTCGTATGCCAACTAAAATTCTACGGATAAGACAAATGAGGGTTCTACGTAGACTGCTCCGCGAGTACAGGGAAGCCAAGAAAATCGACATGCACCTCTACCACGAGCTGTACATGAAGTGCAAGGGTAATGGCTTCAAGAACAAGCGTGTCAGTAAGTCCACTATTCGGCCCCGAAGCGAATATTCGGTACAGCCCTAGAAATAATTTAATTTTTTTTAAAGTGAAATCTCCTCGAGGTTTGATTTGTTATGGCTCTGTAGGATCACATATATTATGTGCTGTAGCAAAGGTGAGCACCACTTGGTGTGCGTTGATTAATGGTGTGTGCCCGGTTTGTGGATAAAGAGAAGAAGAAAAATAGCACTATCAAAAGATGTGCTGTGTCTCATTCGGGGGAGGGGGGTCTTTGAATCTGAGGATTTATGGCCACATGGCTAGTGCTGTCGCCACAGACTGTGCAGAGTAGTATTTTTTTTATAGAAAAAGACCACTAACTTACAGAGTTTCCCACATGACTGTCCAGGGTTCTTAATATTCAGCCAGCTGCAGTTGTGCATGAGTGGTATTCCTGCTTTCTCACTGAAAGGATGATGTGAAGTACGAGGAGAGAAGTGATAATTTTTAGAGGTTTCTAGTAAGCATAAACATTGCTGTTCTCTCCTCCCTCACTCATTTGACTTGCCTGATCTTGCGCTTACCAACTTCTTGGCTCTCCTTCGAATAACGGTCCTAAATTAACACCGCTTCTGAAAGATACCTGTCACAAAGCAAATCTCATAAAAACGTTTTTTGTATGTGGCCAACATTGTGCTACCAGTGCCAAACATAGACTCCTACTACAACTAATGAGTGGAAGATGGTAACAACAGAGATAAGATGTCTTAGAAGAGCTGCCGGTGTGACAAGAAAAGAATAAAGAAAAAAAGAAGACTAGGACTTCTTCTTCTTTAGCTATTTCTGATCATGCGCATAATTCACTGCGGGCTATAACCTAAGATGTCCTCTCAAGGTCTCTTAGGTTTCCCCAAAGCTTAGTTGTCAGGTCCACTGGGTGAGGCCACATGCTGTTCCGCAGCTCCGCCAAGAGAAGACTGTCTTGCAGGACATGTTCTGGAGTCTGTTCAGCACGAAGACACTGGTAGACAGCTGTTTGGCTCATCCCTAATTTTTATGAGTGTTTATCGAGTCTGCAGTGTCCAGTGCGTAAGTGAAAAAACCAAATCTGGCATTGACCTGGGTACTCTGCAGGTCTGTTGTAGTCTTATTTGGCCTGTCGCGCGCCCACGTGGGTAAATACACTGATATAGTGAGGGTGTGAGTTTGAACCTTAACAATGCCCACCCACGTGAGAAACTGGACTAATATCTAAGCTATGTTGATCCTAGACAGTCCTGGATAGCCAAGAAAACAGCGTGTGGCTCGTTCCATGAAATGAAAGTTGCTGTACTTGTATCCACAGGAGAAGGAGAAGGGATAGATAGATATCAGGATAAACCCACTGTGATATAATCCAGATACACAGTTAACCCCTCCGACTGTTCTCCTCTCCTGGCATTACTTAAAAGCCCCCATCAAGTGATTTAAATATTTGTTTAGATGAAGTAAACTAATATGCACAAAGACACTTGAACCTAAGTACACAATTTACTCAACTATTTTGTAACAACATCAAACATGATTTATTTGAATAAATCGAAATTAAAATGAACTTGTTTAGGCTAGTAGAGTTAAGGTGATGTGAATAATGAAATCATAAAGGTATTGGAAAGTAACAACCTTTGGACAGTTCTCGGCTTGAGACCCTGCCTATTCTTTTCCAGTTTGTCGTCCTCACTGCTTTCAAGCAGGTCGTTACACTCAGACTGTCGGCAAAGAATGGATGCCTACAAGTCCCTGCCCAATGTGGGAACTGTGATAAAGAAACAAGCGCATATCTGTAGTATCTGCTCTAGGTGTACACTAAGCATTTATATTATAATAACATCAAACATGTTTATTTAAATAAAACATTTCATCTCTCCCTCATGTTCACATTCACTCCTGTCCAATTTGGAAGGGCTTATGTCTCACATTCCACCAGTTACATTTACTGCCTTCCTCTACACAAGTCCTGT